TTATTTTAAAGTTTCTTGAAAATATAAGTAGGGCACAGCCTTTGGTTGATTGATTGAGTAGTTTCAGTTTAACCATTCCTACAGGGATCTTCAACACCCTTTATGTGTTAACAAATCTTTCCGTATTTATATTTTAATGGCATTTGCTGGCCTTGGGTTCTTAGAGGTCTGTTTAATACAACAAAACTCTAAAAAAATTAGCACAATTTTATTGAGGTAGAGCGGAAAAGACAAATATTATGCTGGAACCTTGATTTGAAAGTAATCTCTGAATGTTAATAAATAGAACATGAATTTAAGCAGTTGTCCTCAGGTACTGGGAGATGGTGATTAGAATAATTTATAGTAAGTAAATTGTTAGATTTTCAAGTGCAGATATAAAGGAAAAAGTAGTTAAAGGGCAAATGAAAACCTTGAGGTTTAAAACAGATCGTGTTCCCGAGACATTGTCCTGTATACCAGAAAATTATCTTCAAAATTATATCTGCTGTTGAAATGAAAATAGCAAAAAAAATCTGGAATTGAAAATACAGAGAAGCAAAAGGGGGGAGGGGTGTATCAAGTGTACAGTTCTGTGTGCAGAGTGTGGCCCTGGAGGGAATTCATTTACAGTTCTGAGATGTAATTAATGGACTGTCAGTTTCTCCTGTCAGTGAAAGATTTAAATCAGAGGAACGGTCTTTAAATGAATGAATAAATAAACCCCAATTTTTTTTTTTTTTTTTTTTTTTTTTTTTATAGTATTTTTTTTTTTTTTTTTTTTTTTTTTTTTTTTTTTTTTTTTTTTTTTTTTTTTTTTTTTTTTTTTTCCTGGCTCAGAAAAAGTTGAGATGACAACACCATGATGTTGTTGGAATGTTTTAAGTCTTATTTTTAGAAAGATAAATATATTTTCACTATAAATATATTTTCACTTCCAGGTCACACTATTTTGACAACAATTCTTTTAGCAGGAAGATAGATTATTTTTACCTGAGTTGTCTTTGTATTTGTTTGACTTAGCCTATAAGTCGCTGTCATCATTGTATCTGTTAAATCTCAACAATAATTTTGATCCTTTCAATCTTGCAATTACCTTAATTGGAAAAGAAGGCTCTGAGGAATTGAAGTCAAGTTATTTAACTCACAATTAATTGTGTTGATTGCAGAAGGGTATTAAAGTTTATTGAAGTAAAATACGCACTACAATGTCCTGTCTGTTTCTGTCCATGTGGCAGGCTACAGAAAAAAGACCTAAATGAGCACTGGGTGGAAAGGAAGGCTCATGGACATGCTGCTAAAGACTTGCACAACTTTAGGAAGGGCAGAAGAACAAAAGGAGCAGATGTGGCTGCAATAGCAGAGTGTAGAAGAGGAGATCAGAAGAGAGAGGTGGTTGAAATACTGCATTTAGGCAAGCAGCTTATTTTGAGGCCTGTACATACTAAGTTACCTTTATGCTACTCTTCAGAGTTATTTATATACCTGTAGCAGAGCTAGGAGTCTGTAACAGAGCTTTGACATCTCTTTATATAAGGTATTAGTTTATTCTTATTTAAATCTTACTGATACTGTTTAGTAGGTCAACCATTTTCTGCTTGAAAATGAGCTACTGACACATGCCACTGCTGAGTGGTTCTCAGGGTGCAAACAGAACATGAACATGCACAGGGTCAAAGCTTTGTTCAGCTTTCTGAAAAATAAATTTTAAATCTTCTGTTTGTCTAGTAGAAATAAATTAGCCACTTTGCACAGGTTCAAAACTCTTTCTTGTGTGGAATTAGTGTCCATCTGGGATATTAAGGTTGTTCTGACTTGGTGAAATTTGCTGCTGAGGTGAATACAAAGCAAATGTAGTTTCTTACAAATCTCATCTGTTGGCAGTGAAAACCTTCCAGAAGAGGTGCAAACTTGGAAACTAGCACAGGGATTTCTTGATAAACCAGTGTAGAAATACTCTTGTGTGCAATAGTAGCAGAACTGTACTTGTTTTACACAAGAAGTTATGATCTTATGTAACTCCTTCCAGATTTTTATCTATACAGGTGTGGCCCAAGTGTTGAGATTGGTGAACATTTTTGGGCTGTAAAGGCAGATAGTAATTGTGTGTGCCCACAGGTGGTGACATACATCCTTTTCTCCAGTGTCTTGGACTGGTTCCTTTGCAGGGCAGTTGGAAACAGCTTTGGGCTGATAAATCTGTCCCCTGGGTTCTGTGGCCACATGGAGCTCAGCCTTTAAACTGCTGGATAATCTCTCCTTGGAACAAGTGTACTGGTGTAACTGGTTTGACTGGTAACAGAGGCATAATGTCAGTGCAGGGCACCCCTGGCTGTTTCTTAACCTGCTTTGAGCAATTCCCTAAATTTCACAACAGTCACAAAATTATCAGACTCCAGCAAATGATAGGGATTATTTATGCTGTCAGAATAAACACACAGTCTTGAGGTTTTAGAAGTGAAAAATACAATGAGACAGTTTTACTACCTTTGAATTATTGTAACTGATCTAGCACAGTCTCTAGAACAGCAAATGAGTAAAATTTAAGACACTGATTTTTTTGTTTATTCTCAAATACTGATAATATTCTCTGACTTCTGCCTAATATCACAGATTATTGAAAAAAACACATTCCAGTTCTCTGACGTACCATCAGGTTTCCATTCATCGTGGAATTAACTGGGTGTCATAACGCAGCAATATTCCAGCATTAGCTTATCCTGCGGGTAACTGTGGATATGAAACGGGTGGCAGGCGGGAATGCTGCGGTGAGTTGTGGCAGCGGAAAGCGGAGTTACTGCCGTGGGCTCGGAAAGCAGCGGAGGGAGAGGGCCGGCGTCACGTCACACGGAGCGAGGGCCAGCCGGCGTGACGTCACGCGTGGCACTCCCTCGCCGCAGCGAGCGGGACCGGAGCCGGGTTGCGTCACTCGTGCGAGGCGCGCCGTGACGTCACCGTGACGCCGCGCGGGGCGGTGCGTTGCCGGGGCAACCGGACGCCGCGCGCGGGGAGGGAGGGGCGCCGCCACCGCCGCTGCACTGCGGCAAGGCGGGGCCGCCGCGCGCCCGGGGCGGGAGAGCTCCTCGCCGCCCCATTGGCTGCGCCCGGCATCTGGGGGCGGGGCCTCGGCTCCCGCCCCGCGCCCATTGGCGGGGCCGCCACCCCTCACGGCGTTCCCGCCCCTCCCCCGAGGGCGGGGCCGGGCGGCGCCGCCAGATGAGGGCGCGGCGCGTGCGGACGGGGCGTCCGCGGTCCCGCTCGTCCTTTGGTGGAGACGAGCCCCCGTCCCGCTGCTGCCCTCCCGGATCGTCCCAAGGAGGAACGCCCCTGCACGTCCCGTCCTGTCCCGTCCCGCTGGCCCCGCGCCTGGGAACCGCCAGGTAAACCCGGGAGGGATCCCGGTGGAAAGCCCACGGGGAGTCGTCGGGGTCCCCGCTCTGAGGCTGCTGCACTTGTATATTGTCTGAGAGGGGTTTTTATTTTTCTAATTTATACGCTTTGTAATTTGGCTGATACGCGGGCAAGCAGCAAAGTTGTTGTTCCTCTCCGCCGCCTCATTCTGCACCATCACTTCCTTGCGTTTCAGGGCTGTGGATGAAAACCTCGTGCCCATCCCACCATCTTCACCTTCCCTCAGGCTGTGTGCCTGCAAGGGGCAGTAATTCTTCTTTTCTACTTTAATGATTTGCTTTAAATCATAAAAATGTCTATTCAGATTGTGGGTTTCCATAATGAATTAACTCTTAGGAATCCTTTGTACCATTTGATTTGGAATTCTGAGTATTAATAGGAATTTCTGTTCTCACGTATCTTCCTAAGCTGTGCGTCTCAAATGAGTTGGTTGGAGTTAAATAATTTGGAAACTATTTTTTTCTCCAATTTTCATAGTTGAGGAGGTTAACCTGAGCTTTCCTTGCAGTAACAGCAGAGAGAATCTGTAGAAGTTGCTTTTTCTCTCTTAAGAATATGATTTCTTACAGGCTTTATGTTGCTGCTTTTAGAGAGTTCTTGCATGAGACAGGATCTTGCATGTGTCTTTATATTTCCAACAGGGTTTCCTAAAGGATGAAAAGGCAAATTCTGAATGTCATGTGTAAAGCTGCAAAGAGGAGTCCCGTGCTCTTTCCAGAATCTAAATAAAAATACTTCTGTATGTCTGTAATTATCTTCCTTCATTTGTGTTTGCAGTAATAAACATATACAGAACCATGTTTTAATGTGCAGAATAAGCAAATAAAGAAACCTGTATGAGAGACAAAGACTTGATTCACTCTGAATGTGTCATCACGTTTTAGAGCACCTGTCATCCCTTCATGCTCTGCCTGCTTCATGGTCCATAGGGTTAATGTGTAGTAAACTTGTTACCACTGTAGCACCCGGGATTTTTCCCTGTAAATTACAGACTCTTTTTATTTTTTTTTTTTCAAAAGAAAAATTTTTTTTTTTTTTTTTTTTTTTTTTCAAAAAAAAAAAAAAAAAAGTTTTCCCTCTCTCTTCCTTTCTTTGCCCAGTGTAATCATCCCAATACACTTGCCCTCAAAATGGTGATTTATAGACTATTGACATTGCTGGTAATTCTACTTACATTAAGCCTATTTTATGGTGAGAAACCAAGGGATTATAATACTCCGTAACTTATCTCATCCAAACATATTTTTAAACCAGCTGCTCCATGTGTGTGAGCTAGCACAAGAAGTTTTGCCAAATTACCACGAAGGGAAGGATTGTTATGTGGGAAATGGAGATCTGGGCTGGTCTTTATCAGGCACGGGTGGCTGTCCACAGGAAGTAATTTTAAAATGTTTGGGAATACTTGAGACAGTAGTCCACATGCGGTAGGAATCAAACTGTGTGGGTGAAATAACAGGATTGGGACTGTGTGAGCCTGTGCAGAATAACTCTGGTGAGCCACTCCCAGTGGTTGGGTTGATCTGTGTAATTATCTCCACTTTCAATGTTCTGCTACTGTTCTTTACGGTTAACAGCATGTCGAAGTGTTTACATCAGATGAAAACCTGGGAAGAGCGTGAACGGCTCTGTGTTTCATAACCACTGCTAGGAATTGCCACCAGTGCTGACCTGTTCTGGCCCTGTTATTTCTCCTCCTGACAGCAGAAATGGGAGATGTTCTGGGGCTGGAATGTCATTGCTACTGACATCTGCCTGCACACTGACACAGAGAAGTCTCCACCACAGAATCAACACAGTGACATTGCCTCAAAGTGCTCTCAGGGTGAGGGATGAGGACACAGGGACTGATCCACTTTTACCTGACAGTGGCATCTATTTTACATGGAATTCTGGGCTTGTGTAAGCTGTGACAACATTTCTATTTTAAAACTGGCTCTTTGGCATATTTTACAGCAGATTTTATTTAGATAGGATTGCTGAAATGGTATGAAATTTTCTATAGGACTTGTCCTCTGATTTGTGGCTTTTTTTCTTCTTTTTAAATCTCATGACTGTGGGAAACCAAAGAATTCTCTCGGTGGGTTCTGAGGTTTTTTCCTTCTGATTTAATTCAGCTGTTCTTTTGAGAGGATGAAAGCTTACAGTAGCCTGCTGCTGTGATTTTTGTTTCTACCAACAAAACAAACAGAAAGAAGGGCTGGAACAGCTTCTAGAGGGAGAAAAAAGCCAGGGCTGCTATTTTGTGTCTTTTAAGCATCTTTTCTTTTAGGATGATGGTGCAAAAGAAACATCTGTGTATAGTATGCTTTTAGTAACAAGTTATCAGGTGTTATCTAGGTGTATTTTCTCTCAAATTCTCTATGATTCTTGCATTGTAAGTCAAAAATTTGTGTGTGACTTTTAAATTCTGTTAAGTTTCTATTCTAAATCCCTCCTGAGCTCTTTGACTGTGTTTTACTTGAACATGAAACCTTTAATTAATGCCCACTATTCTTTCCCAGCATAAACGAAATCAGTACTTTGAACTTTTACTCTGTTCCCTGGTGCTATACATAAAATCCATTTGGAAAAACTAAAAAAACCAAACTAAATGTAATCCTGTTTTATAAAGTGTTTTCTGCTGTCCTTATATGTTTTTTTCTGATGTTCAGCTTAAAGCTGAGGAATAAGAGGTTTTGGAGCTGCTCATCCTGGCAAATAAGGAATTGGGAATGTCAGGTATTGGGGATGAGAGTTGAACGAGATTCAGATGTTGTTTCCTGGCTCCAACACGTGTGGCTTCTAAATAATGGCAGTCAGGTGTGCTGAGCAGATGGGCAGAGCCAGAGAGACCAAAGCCGAGAGTAGAAGGTTTGTAGGAACAGACAAATGTATTTGAATATGAGTAAATTTACACTCAAATGCCCCTCTGTAATTTAGGCTGTTTATTCTGAGATTTTTGGAAACCTTTCTCTTGTGCTAGAGCCCTCAGGGGTGTGATTTCTCCTCTGGAAAGAGGCAGCTCAGAGGAAAGGTGGATAATACCTGCTGCTCTTGGGTTGGGTTTGGTGTGCTTTGCACATCTGCTTCTCCCTCAGGGTTTTGAGAATATGTAAATTTTGTCCAAAAGCCTCAGTACTTGACTTTTAATGCTGTGGTAAACTCTTCCTCAGTAATTTATGGAGTGCTGCAGGTAAAGTAGATCAAATTTAGCAAGTCACGCAGTGAGACTTGCTGAAAACTCTTTCTCTTCTAGGCTTAAGTAGCCAAAGATGAGTCGTGGATTCTCAGAAAACAATAACTTCCCCTATGACAACAACCAAATGGTTTTGGATATGATCCTGTGTTCCCTCATTGGTGTTCCTCAGCCTATCAACTGGGACAGTGTGGCAAGGCTAGTTCCAGGATATACATCCAAAGAAGTGAGTTAACTCATCAAAGAATTTGTGTGCTTTAAACAATGCTTTATGATGAAGAAAACTTTTCTTGGGGAGAGGGAGGGAAATTGAAGTTAAGATTTTTTTCTTTTCTTGAAGTAATTTGCACCTAACTGAAAATGTTAAATGAGCAGTAGATTGAAAGGAGGTGGGGTTTTGTTTTGTTTCTACAGAACCTGAGCACTGAAATTGAGAAATGCATTCTGCATTGTATTTCATTAGAACTTATACAGAATAAGAATGAAAGTTACTGGAAAGGAAAAATTAAAAAGTGGACTTAAAACAAAGGTAGTTGTGCTACTGCATTCTAAACTCAATAGCTAAGACTTGGATGGAAAGAATGTCAGTACCCACTAACCCTGTGCAGGTTGTAGTATCCTTACTAGGAAACCTAATAACTCTCTATGCCTGTTGTTAAAACTCTAAACAAGGAGGGATTCGAGATCTCTATTAGGTAGGGAGTGCAGTTGCTTCTTTTTTGATCCTACAAAGTGTGGATTTTTCTTTCTTTGGTTGGAATAGAGTTGGAAGAATCTCTGTATATTCACTTCTCTTTCTGGATTGCTGAATTTCCTGGTAAAATATGGTTTTTTTAAATAATAATTTTGACTTTTTCATTTCTTGAAAGGGTGTAAGCTAAGAAAAAATGTCTTTTGCCCTAGTGATTCAGCAAAGCTGAAAGAAAACAAGACAGTGGTCTTGACTTTCTTGCAAACCTAATCAAGTGTGTCAGCTCACATTTATAGCAGTGCTATTGGGCCTTGCTGTAACCTTGTATTTCAAACATAAGAATGAAGGATTGGGTGTAGAAACTTCTGTGGAATGCTACTTACCTTTCAAGTGCTTGGCAGAGTGCTTGGGTGCATCTCTACTGTTCACCTTGCACTGTGCATGTTAAGCAAATAAAACAACAATATCAGTGAGCCCTCTCCTCACATCAGTTCATATGATTGATTAGTACATTTCTGATTACTCTGTTTTTACAAGACTGAATGGCTCAAATATGTTGAGTCCCTTTTTAAGGCAGTTAGATAAAAGCACAGACAACCCTTTATTTATCTCTTGTACATATGTGACTGGTATTACAAATTTGAGACACTGTGAATATCAGAATGATGTCTCTGTGTGCCCCTGGCCCAAAGGGGCACTGGCATGATGTGTCTGTTAACTCAACCCTAAATAAATAAATAAAACCAGCTGCTAATGGGCCCCACACCTGTGTCACAGGAGGAGCACCTGTAGAATTAAGTAAATTTATTTGTATGTTCAAGTTACCTCCGTGTAGGACTTTTCTGAACCACACCTATAATTATGATTGTGTTGGTACAAATTTACAGAATGGAAAGACCTTCTAGTTCATCAAAAACAGAGGATGGAAAGTTTAGAGAATTGCAGGGGAAGGCAGCAGTCCCTTTTGTCCAAATTAGAATGGAAGTCATAATATCAAATCCATTTCTATAGCCACTCTTAATAATATTTGACCATGTTTATGTAAAAGAACTAGTTACAAAATGAGAATCCAAACTCTCCCCATAACTTTCTCTTTGAAAACTGGGCTTAAAATCTCACAGGGTTTAAGGAAACAAGTTCTAGCTATTTTTTCTCTGTCAGAGTATTTAATTATGGTAGCTATTATTTTACTGTTTTTGTATATACTGATACCACTAACAACATAGGAAGCATTTATGAGTTTGATATTGGTAACTGTTCACATGCAAAAATGTGCAATACAGTATCTATCTCAAATCATAGTTATTAAAAATGTGCTGAAAGCTACTGCTTCATTGTCCTATCATTTAATCTTGTGACAGTGTGCAAAAAGATTTGATGAGCTAAAAAGCAGTGGAAGTTCACCTGTTGACAACCAGTATAATCCCCTGATGGCTGCTGGTGGGAGTCCTGTGGAAACTTTAGCTACGTACATCAAATCCTCCTTGCTCGATTCACAGACAGAATTTCAGGAGCCTGCTATTGGGCAGGATTCCATTACTATAACTGGTATGTTTTTAGTCATTCTGAACTATATTGGCTTTGATAATCAGTGTGTGCATGCTTCTGTCCTGAGTGGTTAAGTGCACCCAGGAATGATAGTTATTCATCTTTGGAGGGTTAAGTATGAATATAATGTATACAACAAGGCACTTGCCATTAGTTTCGTTTTAGAATCAATGTTTGCTTGGTTATTTTTAGGTCACTTGTCCTTCCAAGAGGCATAAATCTTTCTGCTGAATTCTGTTTAGGATTTTTGATGGTGTGCTGTTAACCCTACAGCCATTTGCAGTCATGTTAAGCAGCATTATTAAAATAACTGGAGAGTATTGTGAAGAAAAGCTGCAGGAAGCTGAGGAGGTGATCCCTTGAGGGCAAACCTTCCTCTTCTAACTACAAGCCCTGTCTTTGCAATGGACAGGTACAGAGGAGTTGGAGTAAAATGTAGCTAATTTTTTGCTTCAAGACAATCTTGAGGTGACAAAAAATGAGTCTTAGTCAATTATGTGTACTAGTAATTATTGGGCAGAAGGGGACCAAACCAAATAATTGTAAATTCAATCATAGCACAATTAAATATTGTTAACAATTCCTTTTGTACTACTTCTGTCAGAAGTTGTAATTAAATGTGTGTGTTATTCTCTGATTTTCAGTACAGAGATGTTCCAGTGACTTTAGAACTTAGTAAATGTATTTGCATGAGAAATTTCAATGATGAATAAATAATTTGTGTTAAAAATTAAGATGACAGTGAAGTGTTTAAACAACATATTCTCTTTTAAAATGTCCTTCGCTGCAGCTTTAACAGCTGTTAAAATGTCCTTCACTGATTTTCTTTGCAGTAGATAAACACCTGGTTGACCTTTATTCAAAGTGTTTTTAATAACTCTAATCAAGGGATGACACTGGAAAACTGTACATGGAGGGTCAAAACTGGAAGTGCTTTCCATCAGCTTTCAATCATGTGGTTCCATGCCTGATGTGGGATGAATGCTGCTGGCACCCACAGGTCCCTGTTTACAGGATTAACAGCTTCCCAGGAGGGAGTTAACAAGCTAATTCTGCTTCTAGAATTCCTAAGACAATTAGTGCATGTTTTCTTTCTAAAAATGTAATAGATGCAATGAGTGTTAATGCAGTCAAGTCCACTAATGTAATGTTTCCTTTGACAAGATCCTAGCCTGATATTATTCTGTTTTATTTGTGACTTTGGATAAAACATTTGAGTGTAATTTGTTGGTATGAAATCAGGTAATTGATCTTTTCTTCTCAAAGGCTTGGGTGAACTCACCTTCTTAGTATTTGTGAGGCACATCTACATTTCAGAATTGGGGATTTGAGACAGTCCTATTTGTAAATGTTTTTGGTTTAATTAATTGCTTCCTAGTGGATTTATTCACGTTAGCTGATTAGGGTCAAGAGTTTTGGGCCTGTTAGTGATTTGTAGTCATGAGTAACAGCAAGAAAAGGCAAATCGGACCATACTCATTCTGAGCTGGATTCTGGTTTTGGCTGAATTATAAAAGTTCATTTAATACTTGGTAATTATAAGGCAAACTGCTAATAAGTCCCTCTGATTACATCTCATGACAGTAAACAAGCACAGAGGACTGCCTTTTACCTAAAGGATTTGTTGCAAGGTTAATCACTCTGTAATATTTGGAGGGGAGGAAAAAAAAGATATGAACCCATGTATGGTGAAGTTCAGATGTCCCCATTAATTTGGCTATGTTGCATATTCTTGTCAGCATTATTGCCTTCAATAAATGACTGTGTTCACAATGGACTTGTTAATGTGTTTGCAGGCAGAACTCTTTTATACCATGTATAAAAGAGTTGGGACTGTTCCACAGTCCCTTCTTTTAAAACTCACAACTTTGATGCCCAGGACTCCCACTTCGCCTGCAGTGAGGATGGCTGCCCAGAAAGCTGTGGCTGGAGCAGCCCTTTCCAGGGTTTTACTGGGAGTGAATCTTCCCCTTCTGCTAACTGCTTCCTCTATTAAGGCCTTACTAAGACTTAACTGTGCAAGGCCTTTGGATGCATCTTTGGAGAAAGTTTAGTTTCTTCTGCTTCTGGAGCAATTATTTTGCTTTCCTGAAGAGCTTAGCTGCTGTGTTCTGAACCATATCATTTTTGCTGTCAGTCTACTGCAGTTGTTTAGCCATTAGACAAAGAGGTCTGTCTTAATTTTCTTTAGCCTCTTACATTACTCAAGAGGGCGATGATGTTTCTGGATCTCCCAAAAATCTGAGAGAATGGCATAACCATGGAAAATCACCACCTTAGGGTTTTCAGTGGAAGGCAGATATGTGCCCTTCCATTGTTTAAAAATTATAATGATCTTTCTGACTTCTAAGCAAGATTATTGAAGTTTCACATTGCACTAATCCATTCATAACTGGAAATGACAGTCATTGCTTTAACCCTTGATCCAGAGCTCAGTGGGCTTGGTGGTTGAACTCCCGAACCTCACTAGGTTGTTGTGTGTACTTTCCACTGCTTGTAGTAACCTTGTGAAGATGAACTGTTTGAAGTGCATCTGTCCTTTATTCCTGGAACAACCTTAGTGATGTAGCTCGAGGACCAGGCAAATTTCCTGGTCTGCACTCTTTGAACATTGTTTGATATGCTCAGCTGGTTTAAGCCACTTGTGTGAGAAATCTGGCAAAAACAAACACATCCTAAGAGTGTTCTGTGCTTCTCTTTAGAAGCTGCTTATTTCCAAAGCTGGCACATGATGGGTAAGGAGTGGCATTGGTCTCAACTTATGTCCTAGCAGAAGCTTTGGTGTGGCAGGGTCTTAGAAGCCACGTTCCACAAAGCAGAGCAGGAGAGCTAAAGGAAGAGGTCATATTCCCAGAAGGAAGTGCCCAAGGCCGTGAGTCTCATGCTTACTGTTAAGCCAGAAATTATCTGTAGCCAAGTGTCTGGGCAACTTAGCAAATGTGCTGCTGTGAGCTCCCATGGCTGGTACTCGGAGCAGGAATCTGGATTGTTTAGTAGCCCTTTTTGTTGCTAGCTGTGCCATTCCTCCACCATGACAGCCATACTTCAGTTGCATTTCCAAGATGCTGAAGAGCAAAAGATCAGGAGTTTTTGTTCTAATGCAGCCTTTTTTTCCTTACATTGAAGGAAGGCCCAGTGCAGCCTCCACAAGGAGTTGTTCTTCAGAATCTGAGAAAGATCCTGTACATAACAGTGGAGAAAGCACTGATGAAACCCAGGGGTAAGAAGAGCTCTGTGTTTGTTATGTCAGGGATTATAGAATATGATTTCTGTCATAGAATTGACAGAAATATATCTAAATTGCTGAAATTTATCTACTACCAGAAAGAAAACAACTGGAAACAGCCTTATAAATGCTGTAAGAAGTTTGGAAACCTTCTATTGCTGCAGAAATTCAAGGAGTTGGTTTGAGAATCTGTTGTGTGCAATAAGATATTTATAAATCTGTGTTCCTCTGGGTGATTGATCACTGCTGTGGCAGGAATGAGATACATACCTGGTTTTATAAAGGAGTGAAACAAGACTGATGCTCGATTACACTTTTAAAAATACTCTTGAACATAGATTTGTCCTATGTAAAGGCGGGAAAAGAGCTGCAAATGAAAAATTTTTTCATTAATTCCAGTAGCCATCCAGGTCACTTTTATTCTATCACATATCCCTGTTTTCCACACTATATAATTACACATAGAATAATGTTTGTTTGAAACCTGAGCATCTCTCTGTAGAGACAGCATTTACTAATTCTAGCTTCAAGCATTTCTTAAGTAATAGAAATTTTTTAATATACAATAAACCAAATCTTAATTTCCACTGATGAAAACTGGTGTTACTGTCCTTGGTGCCTCAGTAATTTAGGCATCTATATCTGGTTATTCTTTGAAGAAAATTGAGAAGGGAGAAAAAGTAAGTTCTCCATGTAATTCGGGTAGTAGCCTATAACAAACAGGTAACAAAATTGGAGAATGGAGCTACAAATTTTCTATTTCAGCTCCCTTAATTAAATCTCTCTGATTTTCTGTAGATGATATGCCTCTGTCTTCTTCATATGTCCAACAACAGTTTCTTTTAATAGTTAATAACTGCAATTTGTTTTCCCTCTCTTAATAAAACCCTGTTGATGACATCAGTGTTGCAATGCATGACCCAGAGTTGGAGATTGTAATTGGGATTTTGTGTCCTAATTGGCTTAGACTCCTAATTTGCTTTGTGGCTTTTTTCCTTTGGAGGCCAAATATGGTGATCCATGTGTGCGATGAAGCCAAAAACCTCAAAGAAGATTTCGTATGTCCTCGAGATCTTTTGATTTCAGAGATGAAATACTTTGCTGAGTATTTGTCAGTGGATGCCCAGCGCTGGGAGGAGGTGGACATATCTGTGCACTGTGATGTTCACATCTTTGACTGGCTGATAAGATATGTCAAAAGAAACTCCAAGAAGTCTGAGGCTAATGAAATGCCTACTTTAGGTAAAAGCAGATAATTTCTTTTCGGTTTGTTATTCTGTACTAATTGAAGATGAATGGTTTTGATGCAGTTTGGCCTCAGTCTGTTTCTGACTGTTGTCAGTGGTGCCTCAGATTTTAGCTTTTATATTTTTCAGATTCTGTGCTGCTGTAGTGTATGGTATGGGTATGGTATTAAGGGATGGTGAGCTCTCTTCACAGAGTAGGGAGACAAAACAATTCCTTCTCTAGCTGGGGACCAAGGACAAATGATCCAAATCTCAGGCCCAAAAGCATAAACAATGGTGGAATGAAGAGAGAAAAACAAGAAGAATGGGACTTCATGACCTAAAGCTATAACTGGATAATTAGCTCCAATATGCAAATGGAGCAGAACTTATAAAAGTGAGAGACCCCATGACCGGTCGTCCATTTTTGTGACCATTTTGGGTTCACCTGGGGTGCATCCCTGGCTGGGATCTTGTGCTGCCCAAGGTGGATCCACTGAGGAGATCCTTTTAATAAATCCCTACTTCATTATTTAGCTCCATCTAGTCTCTGTTCTAGGACAGCCTTAACAAGGCATCATCAATTGTTAGAAGAGTGTTGCAACAGACATCCTCTGGTCATTTCAGCAGATGGCTCTGCTTTGCCAGCACTGACAGCTTTGAGGAAACATGCTGAAAGTTGAAGCAATAAAAAAGCCCTAATGTATTTTGGGACGTGATGTTTTTTATTATGACTCTTCAGACCTCTTCTGACCAAGGACAGAGTGGTAGATTTTAAATGCTGATGACTGGTTTGTTTGTTTCTCCTCTGCTCCCGGTTGGTACAATTGCAATGTTTTCTACAATTTCAGTGCAATCCAATGCAATGGTAGAAGACCTTTGTGGATTTTGAGGCGAGTTTTTAATTTTTTAATGAGTCTTTGCTACCACTTTTTAAAATGTAACTTTCTTCTCTTGGTTTGTTTATAACTTGCAATGCAAAGGTTATGCTGAGAAAATCTCAGCTGGATGTGATGGTTACAGATGGAAGTTAATCTTGCATAATTGTTTGGTCATTGTATTCCTTCTCCAATTTTAATAAGGTTTCCAATTTTAATAATTTTTCCAGGTTATAGTCCTACTTGGGCCACTGAAATGGTAAACCAAAAGTTTATTTCTTAAAATGGTTAAAGGTTCTGTATACTAGAAGATGGAATGACAAGTTGATTGCTAAAATAATAGCTAACACAGATGCTAAATTTGAAGTGGGAGGGATGTGAAATTACAAAAAAAATCCATGTAAAAAACTCCTCCTTTGTTCTGTTGCCTTCTAGAACCATCAAATGTCATCTCAATCCTTATTTCTTCTGAGTTTCTGAAGATGGATTCATTAGTAAGTATTAAGAAAAATTGATTTTCTGGCACGAGGGCACAGTTAATTACCAGATGTCTTAACAGCTTGTTTGTTGTGCTTTAGCTGTTACATAAACAGGTACTGCAATGAGAATATTTTGAGATTTTTAACACTACTTCTATTCAGTGCAGTAATCCAATATTTGCAGAATCTCAATACAATAAAGAGTATGTTATTTCTAAATGTGATAGTGTGATCTAGAGGGCTTGTTTTATATCCTTTTTTGCTTGAATGATATGCCTGCAATTTAGGATCTGATTTTCCAGCTCTGTATAAGGAATAGCTGCTGACTTGGTTGAAAAGCTTGTCAAAAGTTCTGTCGTTGGAGTGACCCACAGTAAAGCACTGTGAGTCTCTAGTGTTGAAGTTGAGATCCATGTGTTTTGTGGTTCTATTTTAACAAGCAATTGGAAAGTTACTGAATTTTTTGGAGGAGAACATAAACTAGGTTGTGTTATTCAGGATCAACTTAAGGCAAATCTGAGGCTTGTTTTTTATTTTGAAGTCAAACTGAAATAGTTTTTCAAAACACTACACTTAAAATAAGTCTTGAAGCAATTAGTGTGGGGTTTTTTTTGTTGTCCAGAATTCCTTAACATTCATATTTCTATTTTTTCCTAGGTAGAGAAATGTATTCATTATTGTCACAAAAATATGAATGCTATTGTAGCCACGCCATGTAACATGAACTGTATCAATGCTAATCTTGTTACACGCATTGCTGATCTCTTCAGGCACAATGAGGTGGAAGAGTTGAAGGACAAAAGAGACAAATTTAAGAGGTAACTTTTTTGCCCTATAATACACCTTTGAAGTGCTGTTGAGCTTTGGGATTGTATTTCTTTACAGCTATGACTGTGCTGTTTGAAATTATATATTATATATATTCTTATGGAATGTATTTTTAATGCAGAATATAATGGTGTGACTTCAGAACTTTATACTAAAATTATAAGCAAGAAGAAAGAGCTTTTACAGGAAATGAGCAAATGGAAAGGCCACACTAGCAGCATGGCATGGGCAAATTATTCATGAATTCTCACATGGGAACAAGGATTAGGGGGAGAAAACTTTTATGGGATGACATGCTCCTAATTTGTAGAAAATGGTTTGGCTTCAGCATCCTGTGAACTCAGATGTGTGGACTTAGAATTCAGGATGGCTGGGAGCCTGAATAGTTGTGCTGGAATGTTCTTTCACACATCAGGATCCCAGCTTAGTATCAAGATAAGGGCCAGTTACTGGAGTGCAGACTGACAGACAAGCAAGGTGAAAGTCAGGGAGGCTTTTAGTCTGTAGGGATGAAGGCTTAATCTTAGAATGAAGTGCAGCTTCACAGCAATATTCACTATTTCAAGGTTTTTTAGTCAAGGTAGAAGTTGGCAGTTAATATTGGCAAGCATTTTAATAAAGAAAAAAAATCAAAATATCACTTTTGTCACACTTGTGTAAACATGAGATTGAGAGGATAATTTAAAGGAAAATTATATTAAAAGCTAGATTCTGTGAGTGACTGGGCTTGTCAGAATGTGATTGTTAATCTCACTATACATACAGCGATTTTCAGGTTTTTTTCTAACGGGTAAGCTGTGTTGCTGTCATTAATAGTAAACTTTTCTGCAAGAAGATTGAGAGACTCTTTGATCCGGAGTATGTAAATCCAGATTCTAGAGGAAATGCAGCAACTTTATACAGGTATTACATTTTTATATGGCTGCTTCAATAGCAAGGACAGTCCCTGTTCTTAGAAGCCCTGCTCTTACTCCAGTGCTTTCTTTCCTTCTTTGTCTTTTTTTTCTTTTTTTTTTTTTTTTTTATCTAGGTGTTGTTTATGTAAAAAGTTGCTAACCAAAGAAACTGAAAGGAGAATTCCTTGTGTACCAGGAAAAATCCACATAGACCAACATGGGAATATTGTCTATGTTCATATAAGGTAGTGAATATGTACATATGTAAAATGTTTCTTCAACTCTGATTTTGGGTGATTTTAGAAATACTGCATATTAAGATGCATTACAAAATTAAGTCACAGATATGTGAAGAGTGTATGAAGCATCTTAACTTCTTACTATTCTTATTGTGTTACCTAGCAAAAAATAAAACAGGAGGGATGTGATTATGATGATGTTCTACTGAAATTCATTCAGCAGTGCTGCTGCTGCTGAATGGAAATGGGAAAACTGCAACCATGATTACTGTGAGGGCTATTTTTGGGTTGCACTGCTTTAAATAGAAAATACTCAGCTAATTCTTTCATCAGATGGCTTTAAGATGTATGCAGTTGATGGCAGATTGAATAAAGTGCTGCATTTCTGCAAGGGTTTTTAGTGAAGGATAGACCCCTCTATGCCAGCAAAGAAAGTCTAAATATTGTTTCCTAATCTGACTTTGTACTATCAAATGCTCAACCTGCTTAAAGGCTGCTATAAATAAACTTTGCCAGTTGTTTTTCTGTTCCTGAAGTGTTTGTCAGAGGAGCTTGTAGGACCTTTATGTATGTAAGCCTGATTCATTTGGCACAAATGTTTAATTTAATTCTGTCTCCATGACTGTGAACAGCTGGATTCTCCTGTTAATGGAGATCAGTCCATGATGAGCTGCAGTTCCCTCCCTCCCCACATGCCCATTTTAAGGAGGATGGTGGGAGATTAATGACAGAAGACCTTTCTCATCAGATCCCTTTTGTTCAGAACAACCAGAACAGTTCCATATCAGCTCCCACCACTTATTCCAAGGTGTGGAGTTACGTTCTGCCTAGCATCTACATAGAACCAAATCTTGTGCCCCTGTCCTGACCTATTTAAGATCATTGGTGATTAGTCACATAAAATTCATTAACTGTATTACTTCACTTAAGCTGTTATGTGGCTGCTCTGCAATTCCCAGAAGATAAATGTACAGGGATTTAAAATTACTCAGGGGATTATCTAGATTCTAATTATTTGCCCTGTGCTACTTGTGATGCTTTGCTACACAGAATATGTTTATTGAGAAGTGATGCTGGCCACTAATGAATTCAGGCTTAGGAGCTAATACATTTTTATCTTTAATGATTTAAAAATAGGTTTCTATTTATTGGTCCTCTAGTGGTGCCTAGAACTGACTTCCCAACTGGATGTGCTACTTGCTTAGTCTAGGATAGGCACACATTTAATAAAAATAGTTCAGGCCAGGGCTTAAAATTGGGAGGAAATTTTATCTGCTCTTTCTGAACATAACATGCCCCACTGCAAGTTGCACATTCTCTTTTGAATTCTGAAGAGGTGTGTCTCATTTGATCACAAGGAAGGAACAAAGGCCTGTATTTTTAATACTAGAACTGCCAGGTATGTACCTTCATCAAAAGGGCATGAGCATGTGTTTTCAAACTGTATTTCTTAGCTACGTAATTATTGTAACATTATTGTGTTACAGATAACGCAACAATAATTACTTAGCTAAGAAATACAGTTTAATAGATAGAAAATGTTTATCTTAGCTTGTAAATTTGCAGTGTATGGATCTTGAGATGAATCAAGCTGTAATTCTTTGTTATGAGTAAGTTTAAGATGTTCTGAAAGAATAAAGTCTCTTCTGTCATGCTCTGAATTTAGTAATTATTGTCTGAAATTGCATCCCTCCTGTTGTAACTACTAGAGCCTTTTCACCAGTGTGTTTTCTGCTCTTTCTCCACCTTGTGGTTCTGGTAGCAGGATCAAAACAGAGTCAAGACTGATATTTTGCTTTTTCAGAGACAAAACCTGGGAAGTGCATGAGTATTTAATTGGCCTTCATGAGGAAATGAAATCCTGGCGGGATGTTTATTGGCGTCTTTGGGGGACCGTCAACTGGTTGACCTGCTCAAGATGTAACCAGGTTAGGTAATTTCACTTGGCTTCTGGTGGGTGACTTTGAGGGGTGAAGCAGGGATTAAAGCAGTTTGGATAATATTTGGTAATAAAGCTAGGTGCACGTTCTTTACAGTGCACAATTTTTATTTCCATAGGTCATCTCACCTCTCACTCTCTGTCTTTTTGCTGATGTAGTCTTTCCTGTGCACTGAATTTTCCCACTGCCAGTACCATTTGCAGCCAGTTCTTTATCCAGGTGTAGCGAGTGCTCTGGGCTCAACTGGCACAGGAGTGTATCCCTGTTGTAACCAAAAAGTTCTTCGGTTTGACCCTACAACCCTCCCAAAGGTACTTCAGCTCTCCTTTAAAAGAGCAAAGCATGTGGTGGGCTGGGCAACAGTATGTTAGGAAAATGGATCTTTTTCTAAAATAAGGATTGAAATTCAGAAGTTAAACTTTTGTTATTATACTGACTGGAATCAGTTCTTCCCATGAACTCCAATATTTGATCTTCTGCCTCTGTGTATTGCAGGGCTGCAAAGTGAGGGATCATATGGTGGAATTACCTCCAGAAAGTGAAGAGGGGCATGCTTTGCCATTGCAAACTGCTCAGATCTTGAATGATCTGCTGCATCATAGAGATGTTATAGTTGTTCCTTTCACTAAGGATGAGAATAGGTAAGAACATTGTATTGTGTTACTGAAATAACTTAGCCCTCAACAGTGAACATGTGCGCTTGTTACTTTGGTGTTCTCTCCCATTTCAAAATGAGTCATAGGACTTTCTAAGGGTAACTTATTTTTGATTGATTACTTGGAAATTGGTAAGTGAAGAACAAGTACTTTCTCCTTTCACTTTTCAAGCAGGCTTTTTGTCACTCAACCTCCATAAGCATTCATTGCTATTTTTATATTTTAATGTTTTGCTGCTAAGATGTTATGTGTCTGACTCAGAGGTCTGTCTGCTTTCTTGATACATGTTGAGTCAATTGAGACTAATACTGAAGCAGTGGAATAGAAATATTTATTTTTGCTTTATGTATTTCTAAGCGATTCTGGTATTGGGCTCGGTGATGACAAAGGCCTTGAATGTGATGTGCTTGTAGAACCAAATGCACCATGGGGCCCCAAAACTGGAGAAATCAATGCTGTGAGTGCTGATGCTTTTCCTTCTTTTCTTCTAATAATGAGGATTTTTTTAAGAAGTTCTCGAACAACTTTTAATAAAAATAAACCCCCTACATTTTTGGACTAAGACATAGGTACAAAATATGGTAAAAAATTGGTTGGTGAATAGGCAAAGCTTTTCCCATATCTGCTGGAAATATTTCAGAACATAACTTCCCTCCTGATCCTGGACTGATTTTTTGATCAAAAAATCAACTGTAAATACTTTTAATGCTAAGCTTGCTTCCACTAATACATTAATTGACTGCATTTAATTGGTCAGTGGTTTTCAAGTTATTTGAGTTTAATCATTCCACCAAAATGCAGAGCTCAAGATGGGAGGAGGCCTGGAAGTTACCAGTGTAGAGTGCTGTACTGTAACATACCACTCCTATTTTTAGAATTCTATCACTTTTTAATTTGAAATATTATTAGTTCTTATATGCCTTTTTTTCTCTTTGTAACTACAGTTTTTATCTCTGAAGAACTGGACTTTGCAGCTGGTTAGTAAAATATTTTACTAATTTTAAATATTTGGTCTTCTGTACTAGCAAAGAACTAGCTTTGATTTTTGTCTTATTTTCTAATAAATGAGACAAAAATTTATTTTTTTGCTTTAATTTGGAGGTTGCAGTATAGCAACAGTTGTTACAAGAAAGTATGGTAAGTGTGAAGTACTACTTTGTTCTTAATAGAAATGAGAAATTCCTTTGAATGTTGTTGTAAATGGTAACAAGCCACACTAGCACTGCATGTGTCAGTTATTAATAGTTTTTTAGTCTGGCAGAAACATAAATCAAAATCCAAGGTTTTGAGTATGTGTCTCTCTGGGCTGGTCTGAGGTGCTTCACGTCTTCATTGTTAAGCTTCATCATTTCTCATTACTAGGCACTCATTATCACTTATTTAGATAAATGTGTATATTCAAACAATGTAAACATCACATTACTGAACATTTCCATAATTCTGTGCCTATCGATTTGGAATTCCATACTCTTTGGTCACTGTGATAGGGAACTATGCTGGATATCAGCACCTGCAAGACAAATTTAATATATCATTTAATAGAAACACAGCCTCACTTTTAATCTCTGGCTTCTCCTGGTGTTGGTTAGAAGCAGCAATCACTGTTATCTGAAGAGGAGGAGTACACCACAGGCTCAGAGGTCACAGAGGATGAAGTGGGGGATGAAGAAGAAGTGTGCAAGAAACCAGGTATTTCAAGTCTCTACAGTCCTCCTCTCTGGAGTTATCAGATAGGGATTTGAGGCTACAGAAGTCCTTTGTAAGCAGACTTTGAATATTAAGTGTTTAAAAAATAAAACTCTCAAGTTACTTGAATTTTGTCTCTAGATTTCCTGTGGTTAGATACAAATCACCCCACTGCTTGGTGCCATCAAAAGTCACTGGCAAACAAGAAAAGCTGCAGCTATTCATGTCTGAGAACTCCCTGGAATTATCTAGCACTTACTTTGCAGGAAACTCTCAAATTAATGAGATTTCATGTAATAAATGTTGGAAGAAAAGGCAGCAATTACATGACTGCTTTTAAATGCAAAAAAAATTTTGCATATTTGTCTTTTGATTACACAGAGGAATGACTGGTTAATATAGTAAAAATCGTGTCTGCTTTGAAGCTAAGCTTTATATGATCTAAAAAGACTTACTCATTTTTTAATGTGTTAATGGGTTTAGAAACATGGAAAGCCAAAAAGCAGCTTCTCCTTTTCACCCTACTAAAGATTCATTGGAAGAGAATGAATCTGATTTGTTCTTTTTGTTGTTACGCAAAAGGCGATTGGAATTGTTCACATTTTAAAAAATATATACATTTTAAAATAAAATTTTGTAATTTAAATTTAAACTTGTCTGATCTTATATGGCTCAGAATTTAGTAATTGAATTAATATGGTAAAAAGTGTAGCTTGTATGTGCATTAATTCTTAGATGTAAAAAATGTATGCTGTTATGTGTAATCACTCTGGCTTTTAAATGCATACTCGAGTTTCTGTATATTTCTCATAGAAAAGCATTGGAGTAATGTGTGTCAGTGTGCCTGCAACAGTAATAAAAGAAAAACAGACTATTGATTTACACTATTTGAAAAGAAATAGAGGGGGAAAATACTTTAGTAGCTCTGTAGTTGAGAAATTCCAAGTATCTGAGGGTATGAATAGACATTTCTTCCATTAGCAGGAAGAAAGGAGAAATTAAAGAAATCCTACAGGCACCCAAAGAAAGCAGTTTCTTCACCTAGTGTTCAGAAAAGGGAGAAGCCATCTGATAAGGTAAAATCACAGCTGTGAATCCAGGCTCTCTGGCTAGCTTAAAAAATGAGGAATTTTAAATTTTGGACTTGACCTTAGAAAACCACATTAAATGTGTTGGCTTTTTTTCTTCAACAGTCAAGTTCCCGAGATGCTTCTCCATTCATGTAAGTAATTTTCAAAGCCCTTGAGAACACATTTTAGTATGTCCCTCTTTTAAGCTGTTCCTGATAACAGGGTGTGTGTACTTTTCTCTTGCAGTGTGAGCATGCAGCAGAACAAATGGGATGCCTCCAGGTCCCTGAGATACAACCAAGATGCTCAAAGAGAAGATGGTCTGTTCTTGCATGAGTTTAACTTTCATAGAGTTAACATTATGCAAAGAAAGTGATCCAGCTAATTTTCTTAAAATTCAGTTAGTTACATCCCTGTTGAGTGAATTTAATCTCGGATACAGCAGTGGGATTTGGGGTGTTTGTGTGATTTATGTGCTTTATTTGGAATGTCAGCACAGAACCTACAGAGATTATAGTTGTGTCATCTCATAATTATAAAATTATGCAGCTATTTTTTCCTGCATCCTTTGTTGTCTGTGCAGATAAACAGAGAAACATCCACTTCCATATCTTTCTCAGTCTTTCTGACTAAAAATATTCAGAATTAGATTAATTTGTTCTGCCTTTTTTAATCTCTCCTGAAACTCTGGTGTGATTTTGCTGCTTTAAAAACTTTTGCTTCAAAACCATTTCCTGAGATTTTAATCTCGGTGTAGTGCCTCAGGCTGATTCTGGTATCTGCCAAGGCTGCTGAGGCTACATCAGGATTTAGGAGCCTGGTTGTTCAAGATTTTTATATGAAGTAAAAAAATTACAAAATCTAGTATCACTGAAGTCTCTGTCTAATCCTGCTTGTGTTCAATAGCAAAGAAAAACTTTTGTTCTAAATATCCTTCCTTATTTCTAACAGATCAGAGAAGAATGTCTGAGATCACAGGGCACTTAATAAAAATGCGACTAGGAGACCTTGATCGAGTCAAGTCCAAAGACAGCAAAGAAGTAAGATTTGTCCTGGCAAAATGTAGTGTTTGCAGAATTGAAGTGAACCTTGGTTAACAAAAATATTAAACACAAATGAAAATAGCATCTATTCAATACTTAAGCTATAGAATTAATTTTACCAATCTTAATTTTGTTTCAAGCGTGATTTTTTTAAGGTTTGGAGTTTAAAATAATATTTAAAGTTTGCTGCTTTAAAAAACTGCTCATGGAAAATAGAATGGATTTAAAAACATCAATACTGGATTATGTAATGGACAAAAGTATGCCACAGATTGTGCTGAATATTAGTGATATTTATGGAAAGTCACTGATTACATTGAAATCATGTCAAAACTTGATTTTTTTTTTTTTTTCTGGATTCCAGTATGCAGGAGGCATTTATTCTAGACTTGAAGCTCAGATAAAAGCCTCAGCACAGGTCAGTGCACGTCAAAGCAATGCTGAGAAGAATCCCAGGTAAGATTTTAAAATAAAAGCAAGGAAAACTCATGGATTTTGGGAGTGTGGAGGGTGGTGGGCTTTAAATAAGTATTTTAAAGAAAAACATGCTTAATTTCACATACTGCTTATGGATCAGCTTCCACCGAGTTAAGCTGTATGAGGTACAGAAGCCTCCCTTGGTCTCCCAGTAGAGAATGAAACTCTTGGAGCCATGCTGCGGGGAGGTTCACCACAGCTCCAACATTGTTTTCTTTTTGGGAAATGACAGAAAACTGAAAAGTGTTAGCCAAGGTTTTTAGCTTGTTATTTGTCCAACTTGTAGGACAAAACAAAAAAAAACCCTACACATCAAAAACCTGCATTAATAATGTAAAAAAACATACATTAATAATGTAAATATGTTTCTCATGTGTTTTTAACTCAGGACAAAAAACCGTTTTGGTCAAGGCCGTCCGACATAAGGAGTTATGGACATGCTTTAGCCAGAACTCATTACTGCTTCCTGAAACTCCATTGCACTCTGACATATTGAGAATGCACATCTCTGAAAGCTTTCCAGTGACTTATTTATTACTTTAAGCCTTGTAAATTATTTTGTGTTATAAATGAATGCAAACCCAATAAGGTCTGTACTTATTTTAATTGTAAATATATTATTGGATAAAGTTAAATTTGATTGCTTTTTTTTTTTGCTATTGTGTTAAGTTGCATAGAAGATATTTTATAAATCTACAAAATTAAATTATCAGACTAACTTTATTTATGAGGGAAGATACAAATATGCTTTTTGTATGCTAGAAATACTGAAAAGGAAAAAGCAAGACTACTGAATTCTGAATGCAGTCAGCAGCATTAACCCAAGTCTTGTTGTGTACTTATACCGTGTTGTATTTGATGGTACATTTTAGGTCAGTCTTGTGGGGATTTGCATTTAAAGTCCATGACAAATACCTGTGACTTAGAAAATTTTTTATGCAGTTCTGAGGCTTCCTTGTGTACATCACACAACTCCCACTCCTCTGAAGGTGGGTAGCAGGTAGGGATTAGACCTCCAAAGATGCTCTCAGTGCTGTGATGGTGCAGCATTGCATCTTGCATGTGAACCGCTTGCTTTTCTTGTAAATGAAATCTGTACCCATCCCCATTCCTGACCCCTCCTGCACAGGACAATGCTTTGTTCCCTTCTAAAACCCAAACCTTGTGATGCAAAGCAGTTCATTCTCTAACTGATGCTATACCACTAAATTTCTGAGCAGATTAGTAACGCTGCATCTTTCAACACAGATGTATCATTGCAAAGGCTTGTGGATGTAGATCTTTTGGGTCTAATTACTCCCTGAAACCTGCCTGATTAACACTGTTTAGAAGTCAGATGAACTTTCAAGTTCTATATTTGGAGCAATAGACCACAAATCCAGGGCTACCAAAATGAAATAACTTGCCTAAAAAATATGTTGCATATTAGCAGAGAAAATGGCAATAATAATAATAATGATGATGATGGCTGAATTCAAGGAAACATGTCCTGACTTTTTGAAACAGGTAGAAAGAGAGCTCAGGGAAAGCTTATTCCAACTCCTGGCTGTACAATAAATTGTGAGTTTGGAATTAAGTCAGCAAGTTCCTGGGTGGGAGGGTGGGGTGGGGTAAGGAGAGGGAGATTTGTTTAAATGCTCTTCTCTCCATTTGGGCTTTTTTTTGTTTGTCTTGTTTCTTGATGATTTTTGGTAGGGTTAGAAGACTAGGATAGCAATACTTGAAAATACTACTGTCAAGGTGGAAGATTTTTATTGAAACAATCAGTGTTACTTGTGTGTTTTGTCCAGTGCTGTAGCAAATTTGGAGCCCAGTGAAACCAACAAGCAAAATTGGATTCAATGGCTTTGATATCAAGTGGGAGCTGTAACTTTGCAGGAGTGCTTTAATCTGTTTTCAAATAAATAAGGCTTTGTGAATCCCTTAGGCCTGTTTGCAAGTTCTAATGCAGTTTGAAGCACTTGTAGTCAATGTTGGAAAACTGATTGTTGTTTGTTGAAAGTATTAACCAACCCATCATGTATGAAAAATGCAGTAGAAAAAGTGTTTTGCTACAATTTTGTGACTTCTGATAGAGGGTTATTCCAAATTCCCATGGTAAACCTGTGGTGAAAGTTGCAGGCTGCATGTATGTGTGTTTAATTTTCATAGAACTACTGACTAGAAGAAAAAGGAAAATTCTGCTGGTTTTGTTCTGTGGGGAAGTGCCAGTTCTACATGCCAGTATTGTTTTACACAAAAATATTCTTGAGCATATAGAAATAATATACATGATGTGCAGTCTTATCTTTTTTCCCCATGCCAACCACCTTGACTTTTTATCTTGTATTAATTTTGAAAATTTGTCTTGGTTTAATGGAAATAAAAATTATTAATCTAAGAAGTGTGTGAGTTTTTTATAGATGCTTTTATAAGAGCTATGTCCATAGATACTGTTTGATGGTCTCAATCATGCATGTGTATTTGTGATTAAATTGCAGCATCCTCATATAGGCTTTTTATCTGTCAAGAACAGGATATCATTAAATGCAAAGCTACTCCAAACAACAAGAACTTAAAAAGAATTTTTATCTGCTCAAGTTTTGAATCTGGATTAAAAATTCCTCAGTGAGCTGCACTACAACTGACCAAAGTATGCAAAATGTCAGACTAAGCTATGTTTAAAAAAAATATAACTTTGCTTCGCACTGTTACAGTGCAGATTGTTTAAATGGTACAATCTGTGAATACAATTCCTTTCCATTATTCTGTTTCTAGGAATTGCTGTATGGATGTCTTGGATGTCCTGTATTTGTGCAGTTGGGCTATTGGGAAGGCTACAGTGTACATCCTGCTGTTACGTGTGGGTATAAATGAACTTAGTGCACTCTGGAGCTGTGCCTATCTCCTGGATGCTGAGAAATCTTGGAGAAAAGGATAGAATTTTAAATTCAGTGCTGGCTCCAAGGGAAAAAGATGTTGTGTTAGGAGAAGTGTGGACATATGGTTGCCCCAGTCTGTGAATAGTATGGGCATGTTTGATGTGACTGAGTAACACCTTTCTCTTGGCCTGAATCAATGTTTTTAAAATCATTGTTTCCTGTTCTTGTTAAGTGCTCAGACATATGGGATTGTTTTGGGAAACTGCTCCTGTGCATCAGATGCTTGCTTGAGCCACTAGATGAAATTTCTACTTCCATTTAGGCACCTCCCTCCCCACTCCAGGCTGGTGTAACACCTTAAATTATTCCTGATTCCAAAAGAACAGCACACACAGACCCTGCACTCATTCCTCCTGCAGCTCAGTGAAAACCAACCTTCATGAACTGTACCACTGTGTTCTGAGCTTTTTTTTTCTCTATATCTTAATAATTAGGGAATCACAGGATCCTTTGGGTTGGAAAAAACCTCCATGATAGAGTCTCATTTCTGAGAGAGAGAGCTGGTAAAGAAGACTTGACTCATGCTAAATTTATCTTATCATAGGAATAGATTTACTGCTGAAACCCATCCTGGCTGTATCTATAAATAAAAGCAGCCAAAGGCTTTTCCAGGCTTGAGGCCAAGTGACAGCAAAGAATGGTTGTGTCCCTGAGGTCAGGGGCTTGTCCTGTCTCTGAGCAGCACCATGGTGGAGGCTGAATAATCCATCAGCTCATTGGAAGGCTACAGCAACTGGCAAAGCTCAACAGGACTGTGAGCTCCTCTACTTTGGGAATCATAGGGGCATTAAGTGCCAAGTTTTGGGAAGTCCTGCTGTTGTTTTGGACCAAGACCCTCACAGCAAAACCACTGTTGCAGTTTCCAAAGAGAGAATTAATAGAGTTGTGCTGCATCTCAGCAGCAGTTTTCATCCTACACCTGCCAGTAGGGGTTTGTGTATACTAGGGGCCTTTTTCCTTCAGCTTTTGGGCTGTTTCCCCATGGATAATCTGGGAGATCTTGCTGGAGTTAGATCCTCTAAGGTCTAGTGCCACCTCTCATGGCTGAGCTTCCAGCTCTCTGGGGACCCTCTTGCTAAGAGAGCTCCCAGAGAACACTGAAGCTACTTTGGGATATCCAAAAGTAGGTCTTTATTAGCGGATTAAGGCATCCAGCACATTAATATTTCCAGTGGTCGAGAGGATTTGTTGCTAGAACTTTTTGGTTAACAAATATCAGATGATATAGGTTCTGGTCTGGCTGTGATAACCTGAAGGTGTCTGGTGAATTAGGTAAGGGAACTTCTTTTTTTCTTCTTCACAGGAGGCGTTTTATGCACAGACCTGCCTTCCTCCTTTGCCACATAAACTTTCAAAGTCTTGGCCATTGTAGATATGGGGAAACATCAGCCCAGGGAGGAAAATTACCTACCTGAGATTGGCACCAGCAATAAATAACACCACTAAAGGCGTAATCACACTGCATGTGGTACTTGTTCAAAAAGCATGGTTCCTATGTTTAAACTTCTTTTAGTATTTCTTTAATTACTTCTGTTTGAGTCGTTCCCACGTTTCATTTATTCAAGGTTAGGACAGCATAATGGTAGTTTTATTTTTAGTTGTTTTATGCAGTTTTATTGTATTTTGTGTTCTTATTCAGCCTACAGTAATTACTTTAGTGTCCACAATGATTAAACATGCTGGCACAATCACCTTGGACTGGCACCAGTTTCCTTGTGTATTCAGTTGCTTCTTTCAATGCAAGGTATATTTATCTACAAGAGATACATTCAATCATGTAGTTTGTTTCCATTGTTTGTAGTCTTTGACGTTCTCTACAAGGTTAAAATATTGGTGGGTTGGGTTTTTTTAGGTAACTTCATTGAAGTAAAGTATTTTAGCTGCCTGCTGTACTTATTTATAGTGTGTAGTATCTGTAAAGTACTAGACAAGCATCAAAGGTGTCAGCTTTTCATCACATCAAATAGTAACCAGTTTTCAAACAGGAATTCTGGATTTATTCCTTCTGGAGCAGTTATGTGAAGATACTCCACCATTACTGTGAAATCAAAAGGGGCAGTGCTGGTCCTTTTGCCTCTTGACATACCCCGCTAATTTTATTTCCCAGGGCATATGTACATTTCTCTCACAATGGCCAGGACATCTTGCTAATTTATTCTCAGTTGGAAAGTTAAAAATGCACTTGTCACATTTTGTGTCACAACACAAATGTGGGTTTCCTTGTTGGTTTATTTTTTATTGCCCAGAAGGACTTTGATCTCACAAGCTGAAAATGATAAGCGTGTTATATAGTTTGTGGGTTGCTCTCAGAGCAACCACATTCCAGTCTTTTGCCTTATTCTTGGAGAAGCATTTGTCAGGATAATAACTAACCTGTGATATGGTAAATGAAATGATTCTTTGCTAGTATTCTATATGAGACACAACTATCTGGTTTTGCCTTGAGTCCGATATTTTCCCTGCAAGGCTCATGGCTCTCTCCAGAGCTCTGGTTTTCGCTGTGGTTGGCTGGGTTTCATTCCTCTGTCTCGATGCACAAAGTGAGTATTGTTATGTTTATAAATACCTGAGTATTTTACTGCTTTTATTGAAATGGAACAAATTAAATTTATTAAATTCATACAAATCACAAACCTAGAAGTTTAAAATACTTTGATTTATTGATAAAATAATACCTAAGCAAGCAGTCTTGGTGCCCTTGGAAGTCACGTTTGGGCTTTCAGGGACTGTGATAGACAGATGAAAACTATGTTCTTGTATAGTATATACAAGGGTTTTTACAAGTTTTCTTTATCTTTGGGGAGTTTGATTATATCTGCAGCAGTCTATAATTTAAATACCTAGGCTGAAGCCGAGTCTCAAGATGGGTAATTTTAAAGTTGTAATCAGTTGAATTCCTTGCTGCTGCTGCTCAGCTAAATTAGATTGGAGTAGTTACCATTGTTACTTCTGCTTTTCACAGTGATAACTACTTCACTAAAAATTCTGTTGGTTGTATTGAGGCTTCCTGAAAGTGCAAACTGCCAAATTTTTGGTTTTCACTGCTCCGGAGCCTAGGTTTTAGTACTCAGAGATGGAATGGTGAATTAAACCTAAATCCAGCAGCTGCTGACTAGAAATAGTCATTAGGATTCTATTCAGTGACTTGTGTAGAAACCTGCTCACTTATAAATGAGATCATATAAAGTGATGCAGACATGAAGGCATCTACTTAGCCAGGGGAAAATACCCCACTACTTTTTATACCAAGTGTCCCTTTGAGTATCCATAAGGATGACAAGGATAAGAAGTAGGAACATTCTTAGCATTGGTGCAAACCCACATAAAGGCCACAAGAGTTGCACAGGTACCTATAGGAGCACGGATTGCACTCTGGAAGCTTTGCTGCTAAATTCTATTCAGGGAAGGGGAGAAAGTTTTGGTGGATTTCTGGATTTTTGTGTGTATAGCTTGCAGATCTTAATGATTAAACAAAAAAGTCTGTCACTTTTGTCACACAGAGAAAATGTAGAGAGGTACAAGAAGCCACTTAGGAAAGCTACTTGTCATGGGAAAAAAAAAAATATTCCCAAAGGGCTCCTTCTCTAAAAGCTTAAGGAGATTAAATTTCAGGTAAAAAGCTCCTGGATTCTTGCTACCATTTCTGTGGGGAATAGCTTTGTGTTTATCGTTGTCTTGGGAGCAGAAAACAATTTCAGGGCCAAGGTACAAGAGTAGTTTCGATTACGGTCTCCACAAATGGTTCATCAGGACACTATTGAGCAGTGACTCACTCTTGTCAGGCAGTAAAATCCTAGATTGGACAGGACACCAATGTTTGCTTCCTCCCTGTCAGGTATTGCTTTAAACCCTTCAAGATGCCACCATGGTAAATGTCCTGGAGCTTAATTTGAACCCTTGTGTGCATCTGGGTTTGCATAGCATCAGCTTATTTACCTTCTACTAGTTCTGGACACAGTCCCTTTGTGTTCTTTGTACATGACATTTCTGTTTTTTCTTAGAAATCACAACTATCAACTGTGATGTACCACCCAGGCCACTGGTGCTCTCAAGCTTTTTGGATGGATATACAGGTAAAATAAGGATTCTAACCTAGAATTGTCTGATCTCCTCCCAAATGCACTTCATTATCTCACATAGTCAGTGGATTTTATAATAAGTCTGTATTATTAATTGATTTACATGGACATGCAGTGTCCATGGCTGGATGCAGCAGCTGCCTACATGAAATACTGCTTAGTGGAATAAATAAATACAACCCCCCAAATTCCCTGACCCAAGAATCTCATTGTCTGAATAGACACATCAGGCAATGGGAAAGAAAATGAGTACAGAAAATATTTTCTGTTTGCTTTGTCCAGCCAGTATTTGATGTCCTTAATGGATATCCAGCAGTTTTACAAGGCAAAGCATTAAGTTATGGCCAAAGCTTTCCCTTTGGGATATGTCATAACCCTTAGGATCTCATGCTTACTGCCCACAAGCAAACTTCACTGCTTCTGGCTTTCAACAACATACAGAAAACAAACATGATCCAGAAAAGTGGTGGGTTTTTTTTTTGGGTTTTTTTTTTTTTTTTTACAATCATTATTGAAACATTTATTTTGAGTTGGAAGCTTAGCTGCTGTGTCTGACTCTTGCATGGAGTTAGAAAGAAAGATAACTACATTTCGCTCAGATTCCATTTGATGTTTAATCAGCCAGCAAGAACTCTGGCCTTCTGTGTGCATTATATGTGTGAATGAATCTGCTGACATAGCTGATGAGTAGGCAAGAGGGACAATCAGCTTTAATTTTCCCCCGTTATTTCTTTTTATGTGGCTTTCTCCTCTGGAGGGAATGCTGTTTCCGAGGCAGCTGCTTGATACTTCTTGGCTGAATGTATCTGCTCTGCATGGAGGACTGGACAGCCTATGGCAGCAAGCAAAGATGGATTTTGTTTTCCTGGAGAGTTTTCAGCACTGCACACAGCAGGGTGGCACCACACAAAGCTGTGCCACTGAGACCCAGCCCTGCAGTTCTGTGCTTGCTGTCAGCTCACTGTACTTTGTCCTCACACACTAATAAAATCTAGTGTCCCTGGGCTGGTGGCTGACAGCATTCCAGACACTCCCTGCTGCTGCAAGATGAAGAGGTTGTATTCCTGAAACACTTGGAGACCAAGAGCACAAGGCTGTGCATGGAGATTAGAGATGGGACTGTTACAGAAAGCATTTACTATCCTTGACTAGTAGTGATGGGGTACAAAACCAGTGGATAAGGAATAAACACAGCTTGGAAGTTTCCTGAAGATCATAGGAAATATTCGGGCTGTTTGGGAAAGACTTTGGAAAGGAGAGGGGATTATGGGTTTGCAATCCAGATCCATGAGAAGATAAGTATGATTACATAAACACAAATGTCTTGATGATGTAAGGGAACTTTCTTTAATAAAATTGCTAGTAACACCATGCTGGGCGGTTTAAAAGGATACATTTCAAAAGCAATTTCAAACAGATTTGATATTTAACCAAGCAAGCAGTACACAGTCAGTCTAACAGGAATCCTGATCATTACAAATAACAAGTCATCAAATTTTCAGGAGGACAGTTCCTAAATGCATGGTAGTAGAAAATCTCATAAGAATTGATTTGAAGGTTGCAGCATTTTGGGTTTGTGTCCTGTACAAACAGGAGCACATTAAGGGAAAGGCCATTCACTTTCCAGCTGAATCCAGATTCACACTGGGTTCTACTGCCTGATAGATGCAGCTAAAATATATGAAAGGCCCTTGTGTTTGGAAAATACTGAAACTGGCCCCATGTGGCCTCTCAATGACTTTGGCTGACTTTGATTACATTTTCACAGTAAACGTGGGAAAAAAAGTTTTGCAGCATAAAGCTATTTTCAAAAAAATGGTGGAAATCTAGGTGTAAATTATGCCAAGCTTTTTAATTATGGATATATTGTGTGTATATCTTGGAAAAAATTGGGTTATGTGGTTTTAAAAACACATCAATACACTTGTGCAGGGTACTTAAGGGGACTTTAACAGATCTTACAGTTTAGCTAAAAATGGCAAAGTGAGATAAAATGCAACCAAAAGTCACCAGTAATAAAGTTATCAATACATATGAAATAAACCTGTGGAATTCTTTTCCATAAAGCAATCTAATTTTTTTCCATTTTCTCTTACAGGTGATATAGAATGGATTACAAATGTCCCACCCAATGTGCATCTGAAATTACAAGAATTTGTATTCCCTGAACACTTGAATTATGTAGAGCTGCTAACTGATTCTCGATCTAGCAATGCAACTGTGAGGACTAGAAGGGCACTGGATGTTGAGGCTCTTGAGGTATTATTTTTACTGCATATAAAGCCTAGAGAGAAAAGTTTTCTTGACAAGTGAAAAAGAAATAGCATTAAGATAATGCACTTTAATTGTTCATTCTTTCACAGTATAAGTTGGTATTTCAAAAAAGTGATTTGTCTGAATAGAATTCAGTATCTAGCTCTCACTAATATCTGTTAAATATCTTCAGTTTCCTATAACTAAACTTTCCTGTCATCTGACAGCCAGACACGTTCTTTCCTAGTCGTGTGTTGTACTGAGAGCTGTAAACATGCATTATGACAGATGCCACTTGCCTTACAACTCACCTCTCAGGAGCATGAGTTATTTCCTCAAAGTGAGATTGAGCAGATGTTACTTGGTAGAAGGTAATCCTGAATCATAAGCACTTCACTCCCTAATGGATTTATGGGCCTCTGTTGCTTGACGTACAAGGGGATAGGTCCTTCTTCCTAGGCAGTTCTTACTCTGGAGGATCACCAGGAATTTAGAAAGCAATATCAGTGTTTTGCCTGGCTGAAGTTGCTTTTGAATAGGAGAATGTTGTAGTACTGCAGAGTAAATACAGACAATTTATTATACAAGTGCTATTTCAGAGTAGCACTGAATTTGTGTTTTGGACACGGCCACCTCAGAGAAGCACTGTACCTGACAGATCTGGACCAGGTATATTATAAAAAACACTGTTGCAATCAGTGTTTGTAATGAAAAATCCAGTGTTTGGATGAAAATGTACTTTTAATTTTTTTTTTTTTAATTTTACATTTCCATTTCTCATTTGGATATTTTCCAAATGGATTAAAACACTTTTTATGCTTCTTGTACATGTTCTCCTGTATTCTCTGTCAACTTTTTTGGGGGGAGAGTACTCAGGTAAAGAGGGCTGGTGGGGTCAGGGTAGGTGGGTATCAGTAGTAGAGGTACGGCAGTCAAATAAACCTTGTAATATAGAGCAAAATAATTACAAATTGTTAATTTCAAGTAGAGTGTTTTGGTACAGCACACCTGAGGATTCAACTACTACAAGTAATTTTGTATAATTTTGGCAAAAATTATCTGTGATAATCATATTATTAGTTCATCAGTTACATTATTTATTGGTTTGTTTGTTCAATTTTAGGGTAATATAATCTGGTATTCTGTTGTTTGCCAAAGGATTGGAGCAGTGAGTATAAACCATGCTTTATCAACTGTATTTATTGTCTAATTTAATGCAAATTATTATTTTATGCAATACTATTTAATTGAAAGCTATGATGCAGGGAGTTCAGAGTACCTTGTAGAAGATAACCTGTTGAAGTCTGCTGATTGAAAGGAGTGTTTTTGTTCACAGAAAACTAAAGTAAACTTGAAAAAGTTAACTTTAGGAATGGTAAACTAATTCTAAATGGTAGTTTAATGAAAGGGTATCTCTTTGAGGATCTCATTTTAGATAAAATTAAATGTTAGCAGAATGCTGCCACCTCACTGTTGTAATTTCTTCCATTACCAAGACTGTTGAGATAGAGAATGGACGGAATGTAGAATTGATAGATGTAAACGACAATGCTCCAGAATTTCAGCAAGCTAATTATAGTGCTTCAGTATCAGAGGTGAGTTATGGCAAATGCTGATATTTTTTTTCCTGGGATGTTTTTAAATTACTTTTTGGGGAGCTTCTAATGTGACCACACTGAGATTAGTTCCTCACGTGCACCCTTATGGGACTTACCTGCGCTATCTCGTGGGTGTGAAAAGGAAAGGCTGGGCTGCACATACAGCTGGGGGAGTGGGGTGATGGAGAAAGCCAAAAATGGCAACAGGAAGCGATTTGCTAAGCAGGTGGCACAACTTTCCTGCCCCAAGTTGGGAAGGATGTGGATGGGAGCTTGTGACTGAGTATTTGATGATTTCTATTTCCTCTTAGGTAGCTGGAATTAATTCCACAGTTATAAAAGTGGAAGCTGAGGATAAGGACTTTTCACCAGAATTCAGCATCCTTACTTACAGTCTTTGGGTGAGTGACCTTTGTTAGCTGGGAACTGTGAACACCAGTTTGAATTTCATAGATCCATAGCCTGGGACTTGATCCCAGCTTGCTCCCTGACACTGTGAAGACTAATAATCTGCAAAACACCCAAGAGACCTTTCAAACTATAACACAGGATCAGTCTGGCATGCAGTGAGGCCTGAATATTGTTTCTTAACATTTGTGGAATGATTTATGGCACTCTTCAACTGCAGCTAAGGAACTCAGTGGTCTTTTGCAGTAGCAGGAGGGAGAGCTGTTTCCCCTTTTAAAGTTTATATTTGATTTGCTGTCAGTCTTCAGTCCTCAAGCCAACTGAAGTAAGATCATCTCAACTAAATGTAGATATCTGCAGTGGAAATCTTCACATCTGACCTTGTGTCTGCTCCTTTTTTAGCCGGTGAAAGGAAGCTGATACCATTCCCCAGTGTGCCATAGGATAATTCAGACAGAAATTCTATTGGCACTAACAGGGGAGGTACATGTGAAGGAGAATCAACCTTTTTCTTTCCATTGGTGGTGGTTGAGACATTCCTGCACCTTTATAGTGCAATAGTAAAGATGAAAAAAGAGAAAAGAAAATGTATTTCATCATCAATCATATAAAGTATCTGATTTATTCATTTAATAGGGCCCAAACTCTGATTACTTTTCTATAAGGGAAGGAGATGGAAACATCATGGTGAAAAAACCACTGGATTACAATGAAGTCAACTTTTTCAATTTAACAGTCCAAGCAAAGGTATGACACAAATTAAAAGAATGAGACCTGCAACACTTCTACAATGATAGTTCCTTTGTTTTATAGCATCCCAGTTTCTACAAATTTACAGCTTTGGGAGTTCCCAAGCCAAATGTTGTGTCTGCAACTTGGTTTATACTGGAGACAAAGTAGCATATTCTTAATATTTCAGCCTCTCAAGTACCAGCCCAAGTTTCTTTCTGTATTTCTCTAAGTATAAATACTGTACATATTCATTCTCCAGTGCTGTAGCACATATTCACCTATTTATTCTGTCAGATCTCTCAAAATTTGCTGCATTTTACCAGGATTTTTGTGTGTCTTTTTGGAGATTTGAGTATGTATTTGCCTTAATTTCATTTTAGAACTAAAAATAAATAGTTTTGCTAGGATTATTGTGGTACCTAGAAATCAGTACAGTGTTCTATTCTGTAGTCTACGTACATGATAGAAAATGAGAAGCTAAAGAAAGATTACCTCTTGATAGTTTTATTCCTAGAACTGGATTCCAGAAATAGAAAAATCTGACAGACTGAGAGTTTTCAGGTTAAAAATGCAGCAAAATATATGTAATAATATTTTGCTGTACTTTCCACTGAGATATGGGTCTTTTTCACAACAGTAGTTCTTATTTTCTTTTCCCTTGGTATGCAGGAAAAATTTGGAAACCAGAGTGCCACTGCATCATTAATAATTAATGTGGAAGATTATGATACCTTGAACCCCTATTTCAGTCAATCTGTGTACCATGGGAATATCAGTGAAAACCAGGTAAAAGCTCTTCTCTGAATGCTGCTGTTACCAGATAAACTGGCCATGAATTATATGAAGCATAAAATTTTCTGTGATAGAAACATGTAATTTTGTATTTTGGGGGAAAAATTTTAAAAAAGAAGAAAGAAAAGGGAAAAAAGCCTCCCAAATTCCTGTTTTAACAGGGCTTTTAATATAAAATTCAAAGGGTAACTGGCTGTCCATCAGTCCTGAAATAAGTTTTAATTAGTGTAATTCCTTCATACAGCGTCACAATCAGGTAAGCAAAAATAAGGATCTGAATGGCAAGCCATGGTCTATATTACTTTAGTAACTTTTTTTTTTTATATATAGAGATTTCTTGGTGGAATGTATTTGTTTGACTCAGATTTCTGTATGTATTCTGAAAAAAAAACCCAGTATAGTATTATCAGAGTAACCCACTGAAATTAAAAAGTTTTATTATTATCCCTATTTCTATGTCGTTATCTTCCTGTTAATGTATTTTTAATCATAGATACTTTGAGAGTTACACCTCCAGTGTTCCTTTTGTTAGAAGTTCATCTTTAATTCTCTGAAAGGAACAGTTTTAGCCCTTCTAAAATGCTTTTATCTTTTAAATTACTGTTTTTATATGGGCTGGAGAATAGACTTGTGTGTTGTTTTCCAGGAGAGGAATGGAACCTAAATAGTCAATGTTCTCAACATAAATTCCATCTGTGACTGCAGCTTCATAATCTGGTGTTTCTTAAGCACAGTGTATCCATCAAGTATCTTGGTTATCATTCTCCACTGTAAATCACATATGGCAAAGAAAGACCTTTTTTCTCGATCACATTGATTAAATACATGTTTCTTGTTACCTTAATCAAAACTGTGACTTATCTAAGGAAATATTTGAAGTTAATATGTGTTTTTTCCAAGATATTCAGGTTAATGTATATTTTCTAGGTGGGTCCTCTGGCTGTTCTCCCAGAGGTCTTGGCTCAAGATGGAGACAAAGGTATAAATGAAAAAATAATTTACAGCATCAAGCTAGGTAAGAGCCTTTATTTTCTTCTAGACATTGACATAGTAATTCAGGATGATTCATTTGCCTATTACTGGAGGGAATGATAAGGAAGTGCAGGGTCCATTCAGATGTCTTGAAGTGCCCACAGCTTCACTGCAGAGCTGCTCCACGAGCTAAATCAGCCTGATCTCAGTCATTATTGTGGGGTCCAGCTACTTCTAAAATGTTTGATTGTTCATACCCTTCTTAGAGGGAACAAAAATCAATTCCTGATTTCAAGTGTAAGCCACTTCTAGAGGCTTCAGCTTGATCAAAGAATTTACATTCAGGACCATCTAGAGAGAGTATTCCATCAGGAGCTGTTCCTCCTCCTGAAGAAATTGCCAGAAGTTTATAAAATGCTTAATTTGAGACCCTTGAAGTGTGAGTGTATTTTCTAGGAGTTGTTTTAAGGACAGAGTGTTTGAAAAACAGCCTTTCATGTTCCTTTTTCCTGTGGCTGAGAAGTTAACACTCAGCTAACACTGAGAAGTTAACAAAGGACAGACCAGACTTCCAGTTCTGGTTCATTCTCATTAACCCTTCCCAATTTGTTGCTTTTCAGTGAACCCCCCAGCCTATAACAACAGCTTTTCAATCAATGACACTGGAGTGTTGGAAGTCAAGACCTCAATTGACAGAGAAATATGTCCAAACCTTGTGGTGGGCATTCAGGTAGAGATTGTTTTTGTATTTTAGTCTCAATTTCAGAAAATAATATGTAAATCCAAGTTACTGTTAATAGCATTTCTCATAGTCATTGGTATTAAGGCTCCATCCTGCCATTTAAAACTCAAAATAAAGGAAAATGTAATTAATTATAAATATGCAGTTGTCATGTCCTTGTGTTAAGCTTGTTGTTATCAAGGCATGGAATTTACAGCTGTAAGCTCTGTTTTCTAGGCAGCTCAGAAAGACAAGACTTTCAAAACAGCTGATGCAGTAGTTCTGGTTACTATTGGAGATGAAAATGACAATTATCCAGTACTGTCACAAGCAAGTTATGATGTCTTACTTCCAGAAAATTTCCCAAATGGGTTGGAAGTTCTTCAAATAACAGCTACTGATGAAGATGAGGTAAAAAGATGATGGTTTTGTGGCTGCTACAAGTACTGCACTTCTGAAATATAATGTAAAATGCATTTGTGTTATATGGCTATTGTGAATAGAATTTTTTTTTTCTGACTATCTAAATATGCTTAAGCAAAGCAAACTTAGTTTCCCTTCTTTAAGGGGTAAAGTACTGCAGACAAAGAATAAATTTTGTCTCTCTTTGGAACTCCTCTGGCTTGCATAAGGTCCCAAATCTGGAAGTGCAGAAGTACAAAATGAACACAAAGCTGCAAGTCATTCTCAGCCTGCATGTTATTTCTTCCATGTTGTTTGCTTCTCTCTTTTTTTTAATTTTGTTTTTTTTTTGGAACTGTAATCTCAATTAAACCAGGAGATTTCATCCTTTCCATGTGGAAAACAAGGAGAAAGTATCCTAAGGGAGTAGTTCAGTGATTACCCTATTTAATGACAAACATGTTTCCTGTTTGCAGGGAGGCTTCCAGGGAACATTCAGTCTCACTCCAGATGACAGTCCCTTCCAGCTGAGTCCAGCTGGAATCCTAACTGTGAGGAACTCCACGCTGCTGGACAGGGAGAGAGTGCCCTCTATTCATCTACAGGTATTAAAAACAAGCCTGCTTCTCTCCAAGGTAACCTGAGGCCAACAGGTGAGACCTGATCTGTCCTGGCAGGAGGCCGAACCTTGAGTAGGGACAGCAGCTTAATTGAAGAAACAAACCAAGAGTTTGAGAGCAATGTTATCTGGAGGGAAATACCATTGCTGATACAACTTCCTCAGCTTGTAATTCTTATTTAACCTTTTTTCTACCTCCACAACACTCCTTTGAACAACACAGTCTTCTCATTCATCGTTTTTGCAGGTCACTGCTAGAGATCATTTGCCACCTCACCAAACGGTGAACTCTTCTATCAACATAGTGCTGCTGGATGAAAATGACAACAGCCCAACCTTTAGAGACGCACCATACAGACAAGATATTTTCCTCAATATGACTGTAGGAATGGCCATTCTTCAGGTACTAGAAATACTGAGCAAAAATGACATTTTTGAGTGGAATCCATGCATGAGTCCTTGCTTAAACTTGTGAAGCAGTTCTGTCGAGTAGGGAATATTTTTGGAACAGCTCTGAGTTCAGAAACAATCCATTTTTGATTTTAGAGCTATTGATATTTCATAATCACCATGTCCTGAATATTTTAATCACATCCCAGATCAGAGAATAAATTATAAAGGATTTTTATTCTGTTGCTGTGCACCAGCCTCAATTCCACAAATATAGACAGAAAATAAGATTCTTGAATTTAGTTGTTGTAAAGTATTTAATAAAAACTGAATGTTGTTAGAGTCCAGAAGCTCAAATAATGGTACAGCATTTTTGAAAGGCTACTGAATGCTGGAGCATTGGGGATAATTTTTAGATCCAATATACTTTTTCTAACATAGTAAAACAATTAACCAAATAAAACAGGAAATAGGAGTTGAGATCTGTAGAGAATCACTATCAATGCTCATACCCAGATGTGCAGATTTCATGGCACCTGATGAAACCACTTGAACAGTCTGCCTCCAGTACTTTTGGAATTGTTATGAAACCAATTCTCTGAGATACAAACCTGGTGTAATTCACATGAGTTCCACAGGAGTAGGATTTTGCTTGTGCTGCTGGAATGATATCATGTGTGTGCATCCAAGAGCAAACTTTGTTACTGAGGTTTAACAGAAGAATTGCATAGGAAGTAGGCATCAAAGGTACAACCAAATTTAACTGCAGCAATATTTACCTGATTTTCCTGTACATCTAAAATGGGAGAAAATTTGATGAATACACAAAACCTAGAGTAAAACAATTTTTGTTTTCCTCCAGGTTGCTGCTGCTGATGCAGATGATGGTATAAATGGAGAGATAAGCTTCATCTTAGCTGGTGGCAATGAAGATGGACACTTTGAATTGGACACATCCACAGGAAAAATCAGTTTAAGAACTGTAATCCCATTACAAATCAACCAGCTTAAGAAGTTTGTCTTGTGGATAACAGCTACTGATGGTAAGACAGGATTTAGTCCTGGTCAACACAGCTAATCCTGGTGATGAGTTTTGGTTTTGTTTGATTTTTTTACTTGAAGGAATGCTGTCAAAATAGGTTCGCAGGCTTTGTTTGGAATAATACTATATATTTTATCTGCTCTTGTTCATTGAAGATAAGAAACTGTCTTATTATTCCAAAATAATTGCTGCATCTCTGGTAAAACTGTTCCTGCTGATGGCATTATAGGAAATCTGTTTTCTTCATGACTGTGGGAAGAACATGTGAAATAGCATATATATATATATAATTGTAATTTATTTATATTTGTATTATATATATAATCACATCTTTTAATTTACTGACTGGTGTTGCACAGCACAGGAAACAAAAATTCAGGCAAAAAATTAGAAATTTATAGCTCTTTTATCAGTCAATAAAAGGAAAATTAAATGTACTGAGTAATTTGGTCATTATTTGCACATCCTTGTGGGTAAACTGAAGATGCCAAGTCCATTTTTAGGATGACCAACACAAACATCATTTCATTATCCATAATTATTGGGGGTTTCTTTGTTTTAAAAGAATAACAGAGAACTCAGTGAACATTCAAGACCTGAATAATGGCAGAAATAAATGTAACCTAGGAATGGCATCCCACTCCTGCTATAATGAGAATACAAAGTGGTTTTCAGCCTTGTGATTTTTCCTTGATTTGGTCAATATGAGGTCTGTGTCTTCAAATTAAGGGTCACTTGGATAAAATGGGTCTTGTGAGGAATATGGATACAAAAGGGATTGCTCAGTCCATTCTTTGTCTGTGGTCTTGGTGAGGACCTCTGAGGCAATACCACAACAGCAGCACCAAGGATTAAATATTTTTAAAAAGGCAGTACCCATAGAAAAGTGTCTTTTTGTGGGGGTCAGTAGGTATTTTGTGCATCTGCTGAGAAATTGTTTCCTTTTGTTTGCAGGTGGGACCGTTCCAAGAAGTTCATCAGTGCCAGTAGAAATCTTTGCAGTTGGAGATTCCAGGCCACAGTTTATTCAGAAAACATACAATGTGTCTGTGAAAGAAGAGCTGGTTCCTCCTGTTGAAGTAGCACAAGTAAGAAGAATTCTACCTCTATATAGGACAGGGCAGGTCTAAGAAAATCCTAATTTTGTTATAGATGTGCTCTAAATATGCAAATCTCCCTGACTGATGGAGAACTACATACTAATACTGTGTTCTACATATCAAGCTTCACATGCAGTACATCCCTCAGATGAAACTTATCACCCATAAAGGTGGGTTTGCTTCCAGTTAAACATTTGCAAATATTTAAATAGCATCTGCTACCATCTAGCATTTTTTAAAACCCCCCAAAAAACCCAAATCAGGCCTCCAAATCAAATTAACCTCTGAACTGCTTGAGAAAGTAAACAGTTTGTTGACTTTGGACACCCTTCAAAGTGTTTAGTGGCTCAAAGCTTAGGATAGGCAATATTCCCTCATCTTCTGGTGATAAATCTAAAACCCTGTGAGATGACATGAGAATTCCCATCAGAGGATTGTCATAAAGGCATTTTCAAAGAACACTCTAGAACTTGCTCTTCATTTCGATCCAAAAAAATGCTCAGACAAGCAGAGCACTGGAATGCACCATGATAGCGCCCTCTTGGATGAAGGTCTGAACACAGATGGGAGGTTTCATATCAAAGCAGTGAGAAGGTAATGTGTTTTAGTGTTTTGATTTATAGACATCTTGAGTTAATTTCCCCCCTTTTTTCATGTAAAGAAACACAGAACCAGAGGTTAAAGTGCAGTCTGTTATTTTTATTCTGTGCTATATATATTCACATCTTAATAAAAGGCAGTCCTCTCTGCATTTTTGTGTATATTGAGGCTTGATCTTTACTTTTTTTAAAGAATCTGGGAAGTTAACATGTATCTGAATGAAAATTCATTAAAAGAAGTAAGAATGAGAACACAGTATCAACCGTAAGTTGATATGAATCCACAGTATCAACCATAACATGAGTCTGGACATAGTTAAAACTACTATTATTTTTCAGACAGTGGTTTATGTGTTTTAATTCATTTATTGATGATATGCTGTATCTTACACAGGTTGAGTATAAGGCTTTAAATCCCCACATACCAGTTGAGTTTCGGGTGCTGACGGAATCTGCTTTATTTGCCATCGATGGCAACGGAGTTATCTCAACAAAAAAAAAACTGGACTATGAATCCCAGAAAAATTACACTCTCAATATCTCCTTGTCAGATGGAAGCACTGCTGACTATGCCATGGTGTTTATCAGAGTTACAGATGTCAATGATAACAGCCCTGTGTTTGGTACAACCAGCACCACCATTGCCATCATGGAGAACATGCCAGTGGGAACCAATGTCACTGGCGTGTCAGCCACAGACATGGATGAAGGATTTAATGGATTAGTGGTTTACAACCTGAAGGGTGGAGAAGGAAAAATGGATATTGACAGCTCAGGATTCATTTTCCTGCAAAAGGTGCTGGACAGAGAAGAACAAGGCTTCTATAACTTAACTGTGATTGCCAGTGACCAAGGTCAACCCATGCGATCTACAGCGCTCAACCTGACCATCGTCATTGATGATATGAACGACAACCCCCCAGTCTTCTCATCGAGCAGGTATGAAGTGAAGGTCCCTGAAGACCAGGAGCTGGGAAGTGCCCTGCTGACACTGTCTGCTACAGACTTGGATGCTGGGGCCAACTCCTTTGTGACTTACCGAATCACTGACCAGCGACCTCAAACCCCCTCCCCAGTGTTCCTTGTCAGCTCAAGCACAGGCCAGTTCAGCCTGAGCCAGCAGCTGGATTATGAAACCATAAATGAATTTGAAGTGAAAGTGGAGGCATCAGATGGAGGTCAGCCAACTCTGAGCACTGAAACACTCGTAGTTGTTCGTGTAGTAGATGTCAATGATAACCCACCAGAATTCAGTCAGGCAGCTTATGATGTATTTGTGTTTGAAAACCATCTGATGGGGAGTCCTGTCTATACATTCAGTGTTGCTGACAAGGATGAGGTAGGTACTGCACTAATCTCATCCTGAAAAATCAAAATGACATGTTTTTCTCCATTAACCTGCAAAAAAGCATAGCAGTAGGCAAAAGGAGATTTCTTAAATGGTTGGTGCTAAGTGTGTGTTTTGGTTCATGAAAACTTTGTCTTGCTTTCTCTGGAGCCAGCAGAAACCTTCCCAACCCAAGGAAGTTAAGACCCTGTATGAAATAATTTAGTGGCTATATCAGAGAAGATGGAGAGAGCTTCTCTCCTACTGCATATGTGACCTAGGATAGGACGTGGTGTTTGCTTCTGTTAATGTGCATATGAGATATATGCATCACACCAGACAGAGAATAGGTTTTTTTTAAATTGTCTTAATGCTTCTTCTCCCAAAATAATAGTTTCTGATTTAATGTTGCTTGATAAACTAAATTTGGTGTACTTACCTTTAGTCTCAGCTTAGTCAGAGCAAGGGGCAATTTATAACCCTGACAGAGTTGTTTCTTCTATAATAGGAAATTACAAAATTTCCCTCTGCTTTATAACAAGTGGTTTCTTTCTCCCCTTGTTTTATAAAGATATTTTGCATGTAGCTGTGGCACTGAGAAGATGCTTTGGAGGAAGAGATTTCTGATTTGCAATATTATTTTGCTCATGTCAGTTTTAGAGCAGCATAAATGCTTGGTTCATACTCCACTGAACTCTGTTTTGCTGCCCTTTCCATCATGGGGATAAGTCTTGGAGAGCGTTAGGGAGAGAGAATGTGTAGGACCCAAATAGGGAAGACCATAAGTGCTTCCACATAGTCCAATTCCTGTTTGCCAAAAAAGTCTATTATTCCAATAGCTCAGGGTGAAGTATTTAATTTATTAAACCTGGCAAATCACTCATATTTCTGTAATGAGAAGTCTTATAAAAAGGTCAGGTATTAGTATTAATAAGATTATTTGTTGAACTTAAATCTTAATAATTTTAAACTTACATGAACAATGTTTTCTTTTTAGGCTGGCTTTTCTCAGGGATACTTTATTCTCAGCAGCACTTCATTTACTGTGGATATCCCTGGAACACTTTCATTAAGGAATAACACAGAACTGGACAGGGAGACTACATCTGGATTCACTTTACAAGTAAATTTGGGGAGAGACTCTACAGCTTTGGCTCATCTCTACTTCATTCCATTAAATGCCTTTTTATATCTTTATAAGAGGTTAAAAATGATAATGCAGTCAAATAAACTGACATTTTTTTAATTACTTCGTTAGGTATGGGCAGTCGATAATGTAATAAATGGGCTTAGTTCAAGTGCCTCATTCCACATCACTGTTCTGGATGTCAATGACAACAACCCTGAGTTTCAGAATCAGCCATACAGTTTCGAGGCTCTGGAAGGAGAGTACACGTTGAATAATCCCACTAGAGTTGGACATGTGACTGCTACTGATTTGGATGAGGGAGAGAATGCACGAATTACTTATTACTTGTCAGCTGAGGATGGGGATAATCCATACAGCATCCAGCAGGTAAGGATTTGGGTATGCTGAAAACAAGATTTAGATCTTGCTGTTCATGAAGTGACTTGGCATACATCAGGTAAAAAAAAGAGTAGGTGGTGCCATTCTAGTACACATCACAACCAGCACGTGCCCCATAGATTGGAAATCTACATTGATATTAAAAAACCAAGATATTCCTGCTCAGGTGTTGCTTGGAATGTGAACTAGCCCCCAGGAGAATAGATTATTTCAATCCCTCATCCCTTCTGAGAATTCAGTGTACAAGAGTTCTCCAAATGATCTGTGCACTGAACCACTGCCTTCTCCAGGATGGAACCATTTTGGTTACTGGCTCTGTAGACCGAGAACGTAAAGACAAGTATGAGCTGCTCCTGGTGGCATCTGATAACGGAGTGCCTCTGAGGCAGGTAAGGAGTAGCAAGTTATGCTTTATCTGAGCTGCCTTTTATTTGTACACCTATGAGCCTGTGCACTTTCTGAATCATGGTTTTCTCTGCCATACTCCAGAACTTCACACACATCAGCATCCAAGTGTTAGATGTGAATGACAACCCTCCTCAGTTCACAAGGGCACAGTACTCAGCCAGTGTCCCTGTGGCAGCAGCAAAGGAAGGAGAGTTTGTCCTGGCAGTGTCTGCCACCGACCTCGACCTTGGGAAGAACGCTGTCATTTCATACAGGTACACTTCTGTGAGGTTAAGTACTTGTTGTGAGAGACACAGAAAGGTATTTTTATTGATCTTAAGAAGGATAAGATCTCTTGATTAATATTTTACAAGTGCTGTAATCAGTTATGATTTCTGTACTTAGGAAGAAGGACAGTCATTATTGGGTGTTTTAGAGCTTATCAAATCATGATTATGTCATAAGAGAGGGCACAACCAAATGATAAACTGGCAACAAAAACCCATAGCCAAGATTTTGTTCAGTTTCTGAAATTTTGAATAACACATTGGAGTGTTTGGGTAGGAAGTAAATTAATCTCTGACTCTATGTATCTTCTGTTTGCTGGGAGGAGGAGATAAGAAAATAACTTCCTTAATGTACTATGCAGAGAAAAATCAGTGGAGGAAGATATTTCTATGAGCCCTAAATCATGGAAAATATCAGGATACCTTGACATGAAAAACATAGATTGAGAAGGACAAATGAATGAGCAGTAAACTTGTGGATATTTAGAACTAATGCCTTGAAAGAGGTTATTTTTAACTATGAGATGGCATTCTACCTAAAATACATCACTTGTGAGCAATCCAGTTATCTGTGAGAGGTCACAGAATGCCAGGAATTAGCAGGTCTTCAGATGAATGTCACTTGGCCTTCTCCCACTGCTGAATATGCAGCTGAGTGTGCAAGATTTTCCTTTTACTGGTGTAAGTATCAAAGCCTTGGGGTGTAATGGGAACTGAAGGCATGAACGCTGTACATTTTCTTGATGGGAGACTTACTTGGAAATAAAAGGCCAATATATTTTAGGCTAAAGACAGCAATTAAAAGCTGTTCTTTATAAATAGGCAAATATTGTCTGTTGAGTGCTCCTTACAGAGGTAGCACTAAGTAGATGGCAATTCCAAGGTCATTAATATGAATGCTCTCCTGATTGCTCCTTACTTAATCAGCTTCATGAACCATTCTGACGATTTCCATATAAATAATGGCACTGGAGAAATCTCTCTCTGCAATAACCTGGACCACATCACAGCTGACACAGTTGTTACCCTGACAGTTGTTGCCACTGATCATGGACTTCCTCAGCTTACCTCAACTGGTATACCATCTTTTTAACCCTTTTTACTTTTCCCACATAAACATAACCCTTGCAAACATTTAAATTTTAAATTAATCCCATTGCTGTCAATCAAACTGAATCTAGCAAAAAAAAAAAAAAGTTACATTTGAACAATGATGAATATTTGCTTTTTAACTTTTTGTCTCCTCCATACTGATCATATTAACAAAAAACTTGGTTTTAGTAACCCTGGTTAGAAATAATTTTTTTCAAAATTCATCTGTTGCAGTTGTACTTAGGTACAAAACCCAAGACTCCTCAGCTGTAGTCACTCTAAGAAGATGTATTCAAATAATATTGTTGATGTGCTTCTTTTTTCAATTTTCCTTTATCTTTCTAAACTTGGAAACATTTAAACAATCAAAAGTTGGCAAATCACCCTCAACTTAGTTTCTGTTCCTCAAAAAATATTCATTCGTGTAGTGTTTTTTGTAACTTTTTAATGTGTTTTGTGGAGGTTAACTTTGATTTATCATGAACAGGAGAAAACAACTGATTTTCTTAAAATAGGACAAGCGATCACAACAGGAATTGCATTTGTGGCTCTATGTACATCCCTCCTCTCGTGTTACAGAGCAATCAAGGGTCAGTTTTTTAAGGAGAAACACCTGCACATCCCATTAGCTTCAGATTGGTGATCCTTGCTCTCCTGTCACACTGAAACAACACTTCTGTAATCAGGGAAGATTGGAAAATCGATTAGGTGCAATAGCATCATGTTTTGTGTTACATATTAATCCTTACTACTATTGGTTTCTTTTTTCTTATTTCCCTTTCCTGTGTGATAATTTCCATCATTTTCTACTGGTTCCTTAAAAGCTTAAGGAAACAGAGCATGGATCACAATCATTTTAGCAGTGACTTCACTATTTTAATTTGTTTTCCCTCTTCAGCCTCTGTTACTCTCTACTTGCTGGTAGATGACACCAGCTTTGGGCTGACTTTTGAGAGCTCCAGCTACGAGTTCAGCATTGAGGAAAACAAATCCCCAGGGACTGCAGTGGGCTCTGTGAAGGCTCTGACTGGAAGCATAGCTGTGCAGGTTGGATACTCCCTGAAATCCCACTGGGACAAGTTCTCCATCGGAGACCAAGGAGACATCGTGGCCCTGGTCTGGCTGGATCGGGAAGAAGGAGACCTGTACAGCATCCTTGTGGAAGCTGTGGATTCTCTGGTGCCACCCAACACAGCTGTTGCTCTGGTATGGAATATGCATTTCAAAATATTTTTAATCAAGGAATATGAAATATCTTTAAAAAATATTAACAATCAAGCAAAATCCAGATAAGTGTCTTCTGTCATGCAAATGTGAAGCATTGAGAGCCTTCTATTTAATTTCCCTTTTTTTATATCCTGAGGAGACATTACCATCTGGAGATATTGTCAACTTCACAGATTGTGTCACTCCCTGAGAGCTCCTTATGAACAACTCATAACCAGAGACACTGATTAACACCAAAACTGGTTCTGTGCAATGTTCTGTCAAATGCCTGAAGCAGATGAGCCAAAAAGCCCCAGGTTATTAGTTCTGTGCATCTCTTCCATTTACAGTGTTATCTACATATATGTTATCTTGCAGCTGAGAATTAAAAAAGTTTAAAAATTCAGAGGTTGTGAAAATGCTCAAATGCTGAAGTTGTTATCTGTTCCCTTTGGGTTTTGTTCCCTGGTTCAAAATTCTCCTTTGGATACAGCTTCTACAGTTCAAATTTGTGTCCTTTTCTCCTTTTGTTTCTTTTTTTCAATACAGGTAACTGTGAGAGTTGAAGACATCAATGACAACCCTCCAGTTTTCTCAGCATGGATCCAAACTCATTTATCAGCTCCTGAGAATGCAGCTGGTCTAGACTTGGGCACATTTTCTGCTACTGATCTGGATGTAGGAGATAATGCACTTATTAGCTACTCTCTGCAAGATGATTTTGCTGAAACATTCCATATCAACAGTTCTACTGGCAAACTGATGACACAAAAACCCTTAGACAGAGAAGTGATGGACAGTTATGAATTGAAAATAATTGTAAGTTGACAAATTTGATGCAAGTTCACACAATTATCAGCATTAAAAAAGAGGAAATATTGAACCATCACAAGAAACCCACTTAATCTTAGAGAATTGCATTTGAATTCATGCATGAATTTTGACTGTTCCTTATGTTTTATATGCAGAGCTCTGTTTTCTGCTCTGTAAATTTGTATTAGTGAATAAATGACTTATAAACCCTAAATTTTAAAGGTCACAGTCACACAACAGCTGACTGTGATATCTGCAAAGCATTCCTGGGTCCATTTTTGACCATACAGCTGCCTTGCTAAATCATGTTATTTGTCTCTTTCCCTTATTTTGTTAATTTTCCAAAATATATGTCCTTAGATCTTTAAAAAAAATAGCTGAAATTAGATTTTTTAAGTTAAAAAAAAACCCAAAAAACAACAAAATAAAAAGCATAAACTGTCACTCAATATCCGTGAGGTTATCTATTTATTCTAGCTGATTTCACGGATTTTTACTGCTATTAATCAGATCAATTACTGTGCATACAAAGAAGTGTTCCAGCACTGACAAATATATTTGTTTGTTCCATCAAGTACAAATACATTTGAAGGACATTTTTACAGGTCAAAAAACTTGTGGAAGATATAGATGAGACATACTAAAAATTGAGCAGTGTCTTCAGAAAAATTTCAAGTTAATAGAAGTGGATGCTTTGTAAGACTAACTGAAAACTGTGTATATGTACCTACAGATGAAAGTTTTCTTTGGTATATGTTGGAGCAGTGTAAAACTAAGTGTAAATTTGCCACATACTGGATGCTCTTCACAACTTGCTTTTTTGGCACTTTAAACCCTCAAAATGCAAGGGATTTCCTCTTTCTTTCAACTACCACAGCCTAGATATCTGTTCATCACAGTCTTGTGTTGATTAGTGCCACATCTGATCACATGACATGTTTGATCTGCATCCAGGCTTGAGCTTTTGATTAATTGTTAATGAGAGGCAGAGCATGTGATAGGGTGAGGACCCCAGCTGCAGGAAGATGTGGCAACTAACCCAGCATAGAGCTGGAGAATTGTCACTGAGGGATAACTGGTCCAGCAGAAAGACTTCAGAGGCAAAAACTCACAATTTTTGGAGCAAAATTGAACTGGCAGAGTAAATTTTTGTCAAAGTAATGCTGTTTTTAATGACAAGTTGTTCCTTCACAGGCCACTGATTCTGGCAAGCCACCACAATCTGCAAGCTCAGTTTTGAGCATCACTGTGGAAGATGTGAATGACAACCCACCAGTGTTCCCCCAAAAATCCTACTCTGTGACTGTGAGGGAGAATGAGCCTCCACATGTGGTATGTGGCACTAAGAATAAACAGCCTGTTCTGCACTTGCTTTCTCTCTGTGACCTTGGAAGGGGCAGTAACATCTCATGGCTGTGCATTGGTGAACATAATTTTTTAATTTGTGGGTCCTGTGGAATCGCACAGCATGTTTGGTTTGTATGACAGGGGAGTACCTGTCCCACTGATTCCTCCTAAAGCTCTCACAAAGAGTGAGAGGTGCTCCCCCTTTCCCTCTTGTCCTCAGCAGTGATTCCACACCGCACAGATTGAGTTTTCACTGGATCTATGGGCAACCTGTTTTAAAGATGTTTAGTGCTGTAGGTGTTGTGCATATGTCCGGCATCCCTCTGTCCTTAAGCTTTTCTGTCTCAGAATCATGGAATGGTTTGGATTGGAAGGGACATTAAAGATCATCTTGTTCCAACCCCTCAGCCATGGGCAGGGATACCTTTCTCTAAGATCAGGTTGCTCAGAGCTCCATCCAGCCTGGCATTGAACACTTCCAGGGATGGGGCATCACAATTTCCCTGGGCAGCTTCCCAGTGCATCCATTTCTGGCTCCTTTTCTGCCTTGCAGATGTGCCCTAATAGTTTACAGGAGTCAAGGGGAGAAGTACCACCTGACAATCTGTAACTGCTCTGCCACAAGCTGTGCCAGAATTCCAGCAATGCAATTTATCAACTAATGAGTAATTTAGTCAGTAAACACTCCGTGGGTCAATTTCAGTTCTGTGTGCATGTTTTGCCACTCTCTTTGTTCTGCTCTAAACCTTTTGTTGATGAATTTTTTTCCTTTTATTTTAGATTTTGAGTGCAGTAGCCACAGATGCAGATATAGGGTACAATGCCATCATTCATTACACCATAACTGGAGAGACAACTTCATTTCATGTTGGAGAATTTTCTGGAGATATTGCAACCCTTCAGCCTCTGGACTATGAAAGTCAATCTCAATATGTCTTGATTCTGAAAGCTTTCAATCCTGGAGAGCCACATCTCCAGGACACAGCAAACATTACAGGTAACTCTACTGCAGAAAATGAACCTTCATTAACCCTAGGGAATGTTTCAGCATGAGTAATTCTGAGGCATAAACCAATACTAATGCAGTCTGCTAGAGTAAATTATCAGAAATTATGGTGTAATCTTTTCACTATAGCCAAATGAAATTTTTCTTTAAAAAATCTGCCATGTCAAAAGTGAGGATATTTCACACATTACTGACATTACTTCCTTCAATATATTCACAATTTTTTTTTCTGTTTTCTGAGAACCTATTGACATTTTGATTGGAAGTGTTTCCAGAAACATAATTTAGGTTTTTTTCTGCTTGTATACAGAAGGGCAGTTTCTAGGGTGATAAACAGTGTTGATGGTAATTTTTAGTCTCGTTAAAATAACAGGGCTTGATTGCTGGCTTTTTTTCTTTACCAAAAAAAAAAAAAAAAACCAAAAAAAACCCAAAAACCAAAAAAAACCCACTAAAATTTCTGAGAAGTTGGTATTCTAGCTTATGGCCAGCCCTACTTTTGATCAGTATGATTGGATAGAGTCTCATTCAGAGGAGCTGTTTTGGTTTATATTAGCTTAAAAAAACAACCTGTAACCATTTAGGTTAAACTCACCAAATGTGATGATTCTTTCTCAGTTACTGTGGAAGATGTCAATGAAGAAGGACCCACGTTTGACCAGTCCTCATATTACAAGGTCCTCTTAGACAGCTCTACAGCTGGCAGCCTGGTAGTAGACATCAATGCAAGAGATGAAGGCAAGGGTTATGATGAAGGCATTTTCTACAATATTTCAGGTATGTTAGGAAAAAATCTTAAGGTTGTTTATTACTGGGATACTTGACACTGCTAAAGCAAGCTGCATGACACCAGGATGAGACAAAATGGTCAAAAGTTGACGTGGCAGGTTCTGACTGGATAGAAGGGGTAAAAAGTCCTCTGTGAAGATCAGTCATTAATGGAAGAGATTGCCCAGAGAGACTGTCCTTGGACATTCTCACCCTGGTGGATCAAAGCCTTGAACAGCCTGTGCTGAATTCACTCCTGGCCACATTTTGAGCCAAAAGGTTGGACTAGAGGGGGTGTCTTGCTCCAAGTCACACGTACAGATTAGGATTCCAACCTATGTCTCTTCACTCCTGGGCATACACTTCAGTTAATTGTCTCTGCTGGTTACAGGGAACATCTCTAATGCTTCTTTTTCTGTTTTCAGGTGGAAACTCAGAAGGCCTCTTTAGTCTTTCCAGTACCACGGGAGAGCTCAGGTTAACAAGAGACTTATCCAAACAAACTGTTCCCCTGTATTACTCCTTGAACATCACCGCTACGGATTCGGGTCTGCCACCTCTTTCAACCTCTGTAAAGGTACTAAAATTTCTGCCTTGCACTCTGTTTACTGCACAGTTTATTCCCCATATTGTTTTATTCTAAACTGAGCACAGCTACAGCAGGAAAGGGATATTAGGCAAAATTATGCAAACCAGGAATCAGAATGTCAGAGATTTATTTCTGTTTCAGGCTACAAGATAAGAGTTACCAAGTTATGCTGCCCTAGCAATTGCTGGCACAGCACCCAAAATGGTTGTGATCATTCCATTTCAGAAAAGACAGACAGAAGCTCGAGGCTTTGAGGGAGGAGGATTAGAGCAGTAGAGACTTCTGTGCAAGGTCAAAGAGTGAGACAGCCAGAAAGGATGTAATGGAAGTATGTGATAAATAAACAGGAGATGGCAAATAGTGTTTCTGTTTATTTTCGCATAATGTAAAAAAAATAATTTCTAGATTGAAGAGTGAGAAATGTAAATATGATTTAAAAAATTACTTTTACACAGTGCTTATAACTTGCTGGTGATCTTTTGCCACTCAATATCACAGCAGAATTAAAAAAAAAAAAACAAACTAGAAATCTGTATGGATAAAGATGTAGAAAATTACCTTCAAAAACCTTAAAATGTAGATTTACAAGCCATCATTCTTCAGAGGACTGGACAGCAGCTCTCTGGCAACAGAAATAAACTATTTTTGTGAAGCAGTAGCATTTTTTATTTACCACCTATCACCTTTTGTTCTTAATCTATAAATCAGTTACAATAGTCTTAAAATACTGAACATGCAAACTCTGCTCTGGTTACACCCTCTCCAGTGGAAGGCTGGAGATGAGTGCATCTCTCTGAGAGCTGCTTAGTTGGACAAGTCCTTTGAAATGTGCTGTATGTGAGGAACTGGAACTCTGTATTTAGCAAAGCACCCAGGCGAACCTAAACTGATGAGGCTTCTGGTGTTCCCCCCAATATTTGCTGCTTTCAGGGCAATGTCAAACAGAGCACACAGCAATCCCAGGCTTCTCCTCACTGGCCAGGGCCTGGACTTGTGCTGTCTCACACCTCAGTAGGAAAGTTTGTGCTAAAGCCGCAAACATCACCCCCATGGCCACGTCCTTTTCTCTGCAGGTGTCAGTCATAATTGCTCCCATGGATGTGTCCTTCCCAGTGTTCCTGGAAGAAGCCTATCACCCTGCCCCTCTGTCAGAGAAGAGCCCCACAGATACGTTTGTTGTTGAGGTTAGAGCCTTGTACAAGCTCCCTGTGAACTACAGCATCGCCTCTGGAGATGAGAAGGGTGAGCCCTGGATGTGGGATAACGGGAAGAGCATGGAGCGTTGGGGTTGTTTCTTCTCTTCTGCCTTCTGCTCTTACCTCAGTTCCACAGCCATTAACACCTTCATTTCCCTGGATGGGAATGAAGCCAGTGCACTAGTTTGAGGTGGATCAGGTGTGGGCATGTGACTGAATTTCTGTCAGAGCAGCCCAAGGCACTTGATCCAGGGCTGGCTTCACCAGCTATGTGCTGTGTCTGATGCAGGAATATCAGGCTGTACCTGGTCACCATAAAGTTACACTGGCTGGACAAAAAATAACAAATAGCACAAAAACTGCTAGTAGAAAAACAAACTCAACTATGTTTTCCTACAAATGTGAGTGCCTAGAGTGAGTCTGCATGTGATCAAGTGCATCAGTGCTTTGTCACATGGTTTTTTCCTAAATATAGAGCTGATTTTAATCTATCATCAAACAGCCAATTTGTACTTTAGTTTTGTAAAGTGTTTTGTATGAAGTTGTGATCTTGAAGGTAGTTGCAAAATTCCTCATCTTCATTTAGAACAGGACTTATTAGGAAATAGTAAAAATTTCTAACTGAAAGAGGGACAAATAATCTCTGACTGTTTCAGAGGAATGAAAATACCTGATGGAGAGTGGTGGATTGAATTTTCTCCCTTTTGGTTCCCATCTGATCTTCTGAATTATTTATTTTTGTTAATTACAGCCCTGGATATATCTGACATTCTTGTCAACCTTGTAAAAGCATTGAATTTAATTTTGTTCTTTAAAGAATACTGTAACACACAATATTAATATAAATAATGAGTAATTTTCCCTGGAGGATTCATATCTTCAGTTTCAACTAAAAATAATTTCTGGGGTTTTGTTTTGGGATTTTTTTTTTTTTTTTTTTTTTTTAATGTTTTTTTTTTTTTTTTTTTTTAACAGGATATTTCATTATCCATTCGTCCAGTGGTATTGTAAGAACACATAAGAATCTAGAACTGGAAGATTTTCCAGTAAATTTCAAGGTGCGAGCAACAGACTCATCTAATGCTGTCATATTTAATGAAGTGGAAGTGAAGGTGGAAGTCATTGATGAAAACAATTTCCCACCAGTTTTTCCATCTTCTCTACTGGAAGAGAGACTGCCAGAGGTAAGAAAATGTCATCCAAACTGAATCACAAAAATAAGTCTTCAAAATAATAATAATCAGAATAATGTTTTGTTGAGTATGCAAGTAGACCTTCTGGAACTGGGCAGACTTCCTGTCCTATCATACTGCATGGTATTGTGAGGTTTATTTCAATCCCAATGCACAACAAGAATGATCTAGAAGTGAGGACTTATTGAAGGAAAAGTGAATATTTTCTAATAGGGAGCTCCATGAAGGAAGCCACTCCACTTTGAATATTTTACATAGAGACTATTTAGGTGCATTTGAAATCTATTGGATGTGCTGGGCACCCCATAGGCTCTTACTCAGCCTTTTGTACAGGACCTTCATACAGGGAAGTAACAGGGCAAAGTCTCTAATTTAACAATATTTCTCCTCTTGCTCACATACAATCTGTTGTGATTTTGTTGGCACAAGTGATCAGCAGCAGAGAACAAGCCAGATTTCACTGAGATTTTCAGACACTGTGGTTCTCTATAGAAGAAGCCACAGCATTTAAATATGCAAAAGCATCTTGCTCAACGTTTCACTCTTCAGTTTTTAAGCAACACTTTTCACACTTTAATCTGCTGGTTACTTTTTTTTTTTTTAATTATTTTTTAAAGAAGCACATTGCTCATGTTAATATTTTATAGAGCACATACCTTGCCTTTGAGATCCCTAGCTGATGCACACATATTGTCTTTAGCAGCCGCAACAGATTTAAAGTCTAGTCCATTTCTACAACTGAATTAAATATAGGTTCGAATTATAATTTTAATGTTCCCAGTGAGTTTAATGGAGAAGAACTAGACTCACACTTCACACTTCCAACCTTAAAAAATTAATTTCCATGTGAAATGTTTACACAGTGGGAGTTGTTGCATGCCCTGTTGGATCACATGACTTCAGATCAGGTCTCAAATGGCCCTGCAAGTGAAACACTGATACCTTCTGTCAATTTTGGTGCAAATAACATTGTTAAAGCGGAAAAATTAAATTATTTATTTTGATAATTATTAGCCAAAGAGTGTTCAGAAGAAACATGATTTTGGAGTTGAGAACACACATTGAGTTTCATAGGAGAAGAGGCTGTTAAACAGAAATAACAGCAAGTCAGATACTCGAGGTTAACATTTGGGCTATTTGAAATAATATTTCTTTCTGAAAATTGCAGCTATAGGTAGAGACATGGAGGGAGGAAAACAGTTTTTCTGTAAATTACAGAAAGCATGAGACTCACTGTGCTGAACAAGTAGTATAATTTTGATTTTAAAATGTCTATACTACTGTAAGTGGATGCAATACCTGTTACTTTCACATAATTCAAGCAATTTCAGCAAAGCAGTTCCTGAGACCCTCAATCTTTATTCCTCCACAGCATTCCCCTGCTACTCAGATTGTGCAGCTGAAAGCTCAGGACAATGACACAGGCAGAAACGGTTTCCTGACATATGGCATTCTCAATGGACACAGACTGAAATTCAGGATAAATGAAACCACTGGAATCCTTTACTCCACTGCCCCCTTTGATTATGAAGAAGAACCCACAGAGTATCAGGTTGCCTTTAGATTTTTATAATCTTCTTTATTCAGAATTCTTTCTCTTGCAAAACAGGTGACACTTGTGCTTTTGTTTAGCTTGATAATGCTTGACCATTTTCTGTGCTGGTTTAGAATAGGAGCATCTCAAGGTATGAGGCATTATTAAAACAAGCCACTGCCTTTTGACTAGAATGAAATTCAAGCACAGCTCGTTGTTCACCTGCCCTGAAAACACTTCAGCACATGAATAACTAATTTCACAATGACAGCTCATGTATTCAGCACTGTCTATTGCTTGAACATGTGCTACACTGAGATCTTGCAGATACGATTCTCAGTTAATCTTCTTTTTGTTGTTACCACTGCTGGATATTTTTTATGGACTTATTTTGCTTCAAGCAAAAATATTGGTGAATTTGTTGGTTCTAAATAGAAAGACTTCTTTATTCACCCAAATATTCCTTAAGTTTTCAATAATAATTTTGAGGTGAATTCAGAGCTGGACTTTACATTTCTAAGAACATTTCAAATTTTAAATTCAGCAGGATTTTTTAAATCCTTATGCAAGAACCTCTTTGTATGACTTCTCACTACCAATAACTGTGTAACTTACAGGTTGTGGTGTATGCCGAAGATGATGGAATCCCTGAGAAGAAGAGGGGTTACTGCACAGTTGTGATAAAGATCACCGATATTAATGACTGGCCACCTGTGTTTGATCCAGTGTCTGACTTCAGTGTCCATGAAAATGTGCCTGTGGGATTCATAGTTGGAAAAATCACTGCATCAGACAGAGACACAGGAGACAATGCCTTTGTTCTGTATAACCTCACAGGTAACAAGCAATTCTGCCACTGCACTGGCACTTTGTTGTCTATACAATTATGAGCATAATTAGTATTACCCATGTTATTTCCTAGCCTCTCTTCACCAAAGCCAAGAACATTCACTTTCACCTGGTTTGGAATGTTAATAATGCATGCTCATACAATTTTCAAACCTTGGCTCACGTTTCAAATGCCCATCCACTCAAAATATTTCTGCTCTTCTTCTGCATTATCCATATACTACTTTAAAAATTATTTTGATGAGTTCAGGGCACAAGTAAATGTATAATTTAAGAGTGTAGTTAATTACGTGTTGCTAAGATGTATTAATTGATGATGCTTGTTTAAATCTGTCTCAGGTGAGGGAGAAAATGTATTTGAAATAGATCAAATACAGGGCATCATTAAAATAAGGAACTCTCCAGACTATGAAACCATGAATAAATACAACCTTACAGTGACTGCAATCAACAATAAATCGGCCCCTTTCTACCAGGTAAGAGACCATTACTGTAATGAACAGCAACACCTCAGAGTGGATTTTGAACTGCTGGGAGGGAGATCTATCCCAGCCATTTATTGTGTAGAATAAATGAATCACCTCATTGTGTTTAGAGTCAGGCTTCTACTGCCTTTAACCACATTGAGTAGTAGTATACTTTAAATATGTGAAATATTTCAAAATTATGCATGGTAGGCTTCAACCCTGAATTGTTTGCTGACTGACCTGCGCTGGGGAACTGGAGTTTGTCTCCTGCTGTTAGAATTGTAAGTGATGTAATGAGTTTTTGTGGGAAAAGTAGTATTTTCAGCAGATTGTTCTAATTCTGCTGTATTTCTTTTATTTGAAAAGTTATTCGACACTTCTTTCACAGAATCAGAACATGTGTGGTTTCCTTAACTGCATGGAGGCCAGGCTGGTCTCCTAAACATATCCTGTTCTTACTCATTCAGACACCTTTCAAGAACTGAAATTCTTGCCTCTCCTGTTAAACTTCTGTAGTGATCTCTGATGCTGAATTCACACAATTAAACCCAGACAATATTTTACTGCAGCATTTTCATAGCCTGGTTTATAATTCCTGTTGCATGTGCAAGTAAGGAAGAAACAATGCTAAAGAAGAGTTTCTAAATACTCTGAGATGCATGGCACCATTTTGTTTTCTAGGCAGCCACCCATGTCAGCATTGCAGTGATTGATGTGAATGATAATGCCCCGGTGTTTGTCCAGAGCTCCTATTCTGCTTCCATAAACATGGTGAATCCCGTGGGTACTCCTGTCCTCACCGTGAGCGCCACTGACCGTGACCAGGTGATTTCTCCTGTGGCCCTGAGCCTGCTCTGGGCTGCAACACAAGCACATCCTGCTCCATTCTCCAGGCATGCGGCACCAAACGTAGCAGGAAGTGAATCTGGCTTAACTACCAGCTCTGAGAACTGGAAATTAGGAGTTTTGCTGGCTCTGCCTTGATACTGACATACTCCCTAGCTCTGGGCATGTTTCCTCAGCTGTAGTTCCTTTAATTTTTCCTTTTACTACACAGAGCTGCATGCACCAGTGCTTCAGAAGTATACAGGGACTGAAGCAATTTAGTGTCTCTGAAGTTATTTGAACTTTTGAGGTAGAAGAATCTGTAAAAACTAAACATCATATAGCTGCTTTGAGCAGGGAAATGTCTGCTTGCCAAACTCCTCTGAAGTGTGGCACCCCAGCTGACTCTCTCTGTCCCCATTTTTAAATGTAATTTTGTTTGATACATCTGTGCTACACCCATCAAATAGGATCCAGGCACTGGCAGGGATATCCAGTAGTCAACCACATCACCATGACAACATCACTAGTAATTATATAATTTACAAGATTAAACATCTCTAAGTGACAACAAAATAGGTGTAGCAGGTGCCTTCCTATTTCTTCATGCATAATTTTGGTTGGAATAGCTGCAGCTGTGGTACATTGCTGCAAATCATCTAACAGTCCTTTTTTAATCAGCCTTTCCAATGATTTTGTATAAAAAGTGAAATTGACTCTGAAAACTGCTGAACTGTAGGAGATCTGCATTTGAGTCCCCAATGAAAATCCTCATTCAGCTGTGCAGACTGGCACTTGTCCTCCCTGTGCCACCCTCACTACTCAGACTGTCCCCCTCTACACATCTAGCTTATTTTCATTAGAGACTTTTTGCCATATTTTTACAGTGTAAATGACCAATGTATTTTGTATTTTCTTCTTTTGTGTTTTGGTGGTTTTTTTTAAATTTGTACATGTCCTACCATAGCTTTCATTCTTAAAAAAAAAAAAAAAAAATCACTATTTTCAAAATCATTTCACTAGAGACATTTAGATGTTTTTTGGATCTCTTGTTTCAGTGTTTGTCCTCCCCTTCCAAACATACTTCCAGTTCTATGAAACTGTGTTCCTTTTCATGCCAGGGGCAAAATGGCCTCATTGAGTATTACATCCTCCCGGATCCCACCGTGAGCCCATTCTTCCTGATAGAGGATTTGAGTGAGGGGAAGATAATTACACCTGGAAACCTGTCTAGATCTGGAGAGATGCATTTAACAGTGATGGCAAAAGACAAAGGTTCTCCTCCTTTAAATGGCACTGCTGTGGTTACTCTGAGTGTGTTTGACAACCGTCCATTCGTTCCTCGCCTCAACAAAAGTGAGATCAGGTAAGGCTTTCATAGTGAGTTAAATACCTAGGATGTGTTCACCAGATGGTGCAAAACACAGTGAAGCTGAAGGTCCCTTTCATATTTTTCCATGCAGAAGAAAGAACATCAGTTTTGGGGTTGTTTTTAAGCAAAACATAGGAAATTCTGTTACACTTGGGGTTCTGTGAATGTGAGTTGAGGCACTACCTCTTATTTCTATACTTGCAGCTTTTATAGGCCAGATTCTGTCCCTTTTCTCTTGAACACTATAAAACATTTTTCTTTAGGTTTTACTCAAGGGTGACCCAAAATCTGGCTAGAAAACCAGGGTTTGCACTGCACTCTGAAAGTTGGGCAGATCTGGCAAACAACTGGGGGAAGGGGGCAAGATTTTCCACAGAGAACTCTCTTACAAAGAGTTACATTTTAAAGCCTGCCTGGGCAACTGCTGTAGGCATATTTAACATTATGATTTGTCATTTATTTCCTGCATCAGCATTTCTGTTTCGGAAAACACTGGAGTGGATTATTTAATTTATGATTTTGCTGTGGTTGAAACTTCAGGAAAACCAATTTATTACACTGTTGTATCTGGCAATGAAAGAGGTGAGTACCAGCCCCCTTATGAGTTAAAATAGCCAGGAGAACATCATAACCTATCTTTTGCATGGCAGGTGCTGCTGTGCATAAATGAGGAAATAGAGAGCATGAATAGAACTTTTTTTTAAAACAGGACTACACAGAGAGTTTTTTTTCAGGGCTTTTCAGCATTGACGTTGCTGATCTTTGGCTCTATGAAGGGTGGTAACTTGCTAAGAAATGGTTTATTTTAATCTTAAACTATAAGATAATTTACAGACTGGGGAGCCAAAATAGAAAGTGTTGTTAACAAGCAGCTTCCTCCCTGCCAATTACTTTCAGTCCATCATTTCCTTGCATTTATGTTAAGGCATCTGCACTCTTGCAGCTGTGCCTAGGTTCCATTTGGCCCACAACACAGGAAGTACATAGCTGAGAGAAAAGTTGGAAATGCATGAAAAACGGATCTGTGCAAGGAGCTGCAATTCTCCTTATTTGTGAAATCATGTGAATTTCTTTTTCACATTCACTTTTCCTTTGCATGTTTAAGAGCTGTTTGGTGCGGGGTAGGAGCCCAGCTGTGATGATGCCTTTGCTTCCTGGCCAGTGGAAGTGTTGAATTTCACATTGTTCAGAGCAGAGGACTCACGGAAACATCCCAAGGGCAGCTAAGACACAGAGCTAGGAGGGTACAAGTGAAATGGCATCTGTCACAGCAGAAGTGTGTGTTTTGTCCTTTCAGGTCACTTTAGACTGGATACTGAAAGTGGTGAGCTGAGAACAGCAGTTAATTTGGACTATGAGGAAGTTTCTCAGTATGTGATTTTAATTCAAGCAAACAAAAGAGTCTCCTCTGCTGCAGAATTCCAGCGTTCAGGTAACCTCTTGCTTTGAATGACATTCCAGGGGAGCAGTGGACACGTGGTTTTTATTTGCAATCCATAGAGGAGTTGTGATTCTCTTTTACTTGTAAAGTTTGATGTGAAAGGTGAAAAGCTGATGGTCCAGGTTGTTCCCTCGTGTTGTTCCCAGGCCTGTTTGCTGAGAACGCGGCCATGCTTACAATCTCTGTGCAGGATGTGAACGAAGAGCCCGTGTTCTCCAGCCATTCTTACTCTGCTCGCATTCCCAGCTCTGTGCCCTACAAATACCCTGTCATTACAGTCCAGGTAGAGTATTTCCTGTGCTCTTCACAAGGACAGAAACCCTGGGATAAAGCTGGGTTTCTTTCACTGCATTAAAGGAGCCTTAAATCTGCTCCTGAGAGCTGAGTTTGCTGCTTGAAGAACAACGTGCAGCCCAAAAGCCACATGCTGAGTGTCACTTTTTTTAAACCCAGGCCACAGATCCAGACTCAGGAGACAATGGACACCTGCTGTACAGCTTAGTGAGAGGTCAAACCAACGAATTTGACATCAATGAAAACACAGGGCAGATTTTTACAGTTTCTGTAGCAGGGAAAGCTGGAACATTTTATCTGGAAGTCCAAGCTGCCGACCAAGGCACAAGAAGACTCACAGCCTGGACAACAGTCAATGTAAGGAAGATTTTTATGTATAATCCTGATTTACTTCCATGTCAAAATTGTAAACAAGAAGGGCTAATTTTGGTAATGGCAAAACTACAAAATTACTTAACTCTGTCAAAAGGGCTATCATATATATGAGTATTTATATACTAGAATTAAGAGGTTGCCATTTTCATTGACATATAAAAATATGTTGGCACAAAAACTGACTTTTGGAGGACAATTATGTTGTATCAGAGGGTTTTTGTTATTGTTGTTTGTTTGAGGTTTTTTTTTTATCAATCCATGAGAGGTACAAATGCTCTAGAAAAATCTTATCTGTGATTCTTTATTAGGTAACTGTTGATTCCAGCTCCAGTAGCAACATTGTGATGCTGGTGCTTAATCAGAAGATCAATGTTGTGGAAAGAAAGAGTGTTGAAGTACAAAGGTATTTTTGAAACTGTGATGCTTATTTTGGTATAATACTTAATGATAAATTCAGAGTCCCTTTGGGATAGGAGTCTGACAGGCTACAGGCAGTGCTCAGGAAAAACCAGGCCTTCAATTTGACATAGCTCAGAATAATTTGAGTGAATTCACAGGAATCCAGCAATTTTTGCCTTGTAAGTTTTTAGCCTGAAGCTGACAAATCTCCCAGAGGTCATTGGATAGACAATTTCATGTGGTTTCTTCCCACCTCAATGTTTGTGTCATTTTTAACAGCCTAGGATTAACCTTTTCATGGATAGCAGGATAAAAACATTGGAGACATAGGGCAGTCACCACAAACCAAATGCACCATTAAATTAAAACCATAATTGGGCCTTTTGGGCATGTTAACAAAGATGGAAGATCTTTTATTTGGCTACCCATAAACATATATTTACTTTGGAAAGATTGAGTCCTGTGCTTATGAAGGGAAATCACTCTGAAGGTGGGAAAAATGAGTTTGTGATGATGCTATTATGGACCAGTTCTTGTTGGTAAAAATTAAATGGAAATCTTCCTTGGAAGCATCTGTGCTGACTGCTACCAGAAGGATGGATTAAATGGGCCACTGGTCCCATCCAGCATGAAATCTCTGGAAGAAGAGGAGAAAACAATGAGGATTATGAGACTAAATTTCCTTCCTCCCCACCTTTACTGTTTATAGTAATCTATAGATATTTTTTCCCTCTGCTACTCAATCACTCTACAATTTTGGACAAGTAGCTTAATTCCTCTGCTGATGATAATCCTGCATTTCTACATGCTTCAATCAAAATACCTGCCAAGGTATTTTTATTAGTATCAATTAATATCTGCCAAGTGTTGCATTAAATACTACTTTATTTAATTTCCAGAGTAAAAGAATCTGTCATTGCTCAGTTAATTAAAAATGTTTTCTTCATATGATGTCAGGGTCCTGGAAGACAAACTTGGGTGGAATGTATACGTGCTTAATATTTATTCCAAGGAGTCTGACAGAAATTCAAGGAGCAGCACTGATGAAACCCAAGTAGACATCATTGCTTTTGATGAGGCCCACCAGGAAGTACCTGCAGAAGATGTAAAAAGGTCTGTATGGCACAGTCTGACTTCTGGGGGACAGAGCTCATGCAGATAGGATTTTTTTAGAATTCAGAAAGCTGACTCACTATTTACCGAAAGCTAATTTTCAGACTTTGCCAAAACCATGAGTAAGGCTGTTTAATTGTACAAAATAGATTTAAAAGTCAGTTTAAGAGAAAAAAAGCTGACAGAGAAAGAATATAATTAAAATATAAATTGACCTCAGAGTGGCAGAACGTTGATTAAAACCTCACACTTTAGGTGTATTTTACATTACTTTGGTAATCTCTCAGTGATGTGGATCTAGTTCAAGGGTCCAAGCTCTGCAGCATTTTAGGTCACAAGCACCAGGGCTGGTTGCTGGAAAACAGAGCTTTTCCTGAAGGAAAGACACAACAAGTCCGAATCCTTGGAAAGGGTCTTGGCGGATCAGGGAGGGATATTCTGTATTTTCTTCACTACTCCTACAGCCAAAAGGAAGGTGAGGTGCACATGCACATTTCCCCCTTCTATCCTCAGAAAACTGAGGGAGCAGCAGGCAGACCTTGAGCTGGGGCTGGAGGAGGTGTTCTCAGCACCTGTCAGCGCTGCCGTCGGGGAGGCTGCGGCGGCCCCAGCGTCCCCAGAGCTCGTGGCCACCATCGTGCTCGGGGCGCTGCTCGCCGGCACCTTCGTCGCCTTCCTGGCCTATGTTCTGCTGGATCTGAAAAGGAAGAGGTACAGACGGCTTGCCTTAACAATGTCATTCACCTTCACAGCTGATGGGTTTAATGAAGTGTCAACTCAAAAAATGTGCGTCTGATAAATTACCGGCTTTTGCAGGCAGCATTGCCCAAAATTTGTTATGTTGGATGCACCGCATTCAACTGAGAAGTGTTTCTTCTTGTGTTTGGCACACAGCAAAATCAGAAACAAATACCTCTGAAACAGAGAAATGTGGGCAGCAGAAACTTTAACTGTGAAGGGGGCACATGAATCTTTTCCAACCCCATAAATGATGAAATAATTTGCTGCTTAACTGCAATGGCAGCAGCGCCACATGGTAGAGGAAAACAATTTCCAGAAGGGAAGCAAACATTTACCCTGCTACCTTTATGGAAAGATAGGAAATACTCCAAACTAATCCCCAGAACAACACTGAAAATAAATGTTGTGTACTAAATTTATAACACAAATAATTCATCTTCTGTTTCTAAAACAACTGTAAAGCCAATCTTCAAAAAGGATGTATAATTGTTATTTTCTTTTAATGTATTATTTTCAGAAAGTATGGGAAACAGGATTTGATTAAGAAAGTTGAAATTATGGAGGGCATTGATAGCCCATGGGCAGATGACAAAAATGGAAGTCTGAAAAGCTTAGAGAAACCAGAGCACATGAATAATGGGTAAGTAGACTGCTGCAATCACAAATTTATAAAAATCTGCACATAAAGACCATGGTTCTAGTTTATTTTGGTACCATAGGATTTTCCTTGGATCTCCCACTAGGCTATAAGTCCATTTTTAAGGACTCTTGAAATGACAAGTTAAAAATCTCTACACTCGAAGGAAGTTAATACCTTTTAATCTTGTATCAAAGGCAAATTCCTACTTACTCTTTAGCAAATTGTTAATCCTAATGCAGAAAAGACCCTTCAGGATACAGGAAGCTCCTTAATTCCCCTGGGTAAAATCCCACTAATTTTGAGATCAGTGTACATGCTGCTTTGGGTTGTAGAGAGGCTGAGATTTTTGTCCATGGTGCTATGAATTCTCTGAACTCTCTTAGGAGAACTGAGATGATATCATTTGACAACCTGGAAGGCACCAGAGGAGATGATGCTGAAAAAGATGAAATTCAGGCCCCTGAAAAAGACAATTACCTGGAGACAGTACTGCTGGATTACAAGGGTGAAAGTGAGCAAAATGGAACACCTGAAAAAGCTCCTGAAAGTAGAAATGTGGAGGTCCAGCTCACTGCGAGATCCACAACAGAACAGGTAATGAGCATTTTGATTGCAAAGCATGGAGTGAAAGGTCTTTTATTGTTATTCATCCCATAACTCAAGGAATTATCAAAAAAGCAGATCTGATGGAACTAAAAAATAAAATTTTGTGAAGTAATCCCTGGGAATGTTCAAGACCAGGCTGGACAGGGTTTGGAGCAACCTGGTCCAAGCAAGGTGTCCCTGCCCATGGCAGGAAGTTGGGGCTGGACAATGTCTTAAGGTCCCTTCCACCCCAAACCATTCTATGATTCTATAAAAAAATCTTAAAGAGGAAGGGCTGTTTGTCCATGCCTAGAAGAAGGAGAAGGACTTTCATCCAGAAGTGACGACTCTCTTAATTATGATGTGAACAGTAAAGGGCTCACAATTTTATGATTTCTACCATTTATAATTCCTCCATACTCAACCGTTTGTAGCTTTCTGCCTCACCTGCATTACGCTTTTTTGCAGGATTCCTTTCCGACAGACACAAACCAGAAGCCAGCTCTTTCATTAACACCTCATCCCACATTGCCTGCCCCTGAGAAAGAACTGAAAGGAGTAAAATTTTCAGAGGTGGCAGTGATTTTGGACACAGAACCTGAAGATGATGAGCCTGGAGATGATGAGTCTGAAGACAATGAGTTTGGTGATGATCTATCTCTCTGATAAGAACACCCGATGAAGAAAATTTTTAGAAAAAGCACAATGAGACTCATTGGAACAGCTCATAATTAAATGAGCAATAAGAATATGGGAATGTTATCCAAATTTTAATTCTGCTGCTGTTTTAAGGATGGATAAGAAAGCCCACAAGTAATACGCGGGAAGGGCTGCAGTGCCGTGCTGCAGGGCTGTTTCCCCAGCAGCAGCGCTGGCTCACTGTGTATTTAATTTCGTCTGGCACGTGTCAAATGGGCAAGACAATAAACCCGATTCCAGAGGCGCTGCCTTGTCATTGCTTCAGCTCGTGTAATTTTGGGACATCAATTCTTTTGTTCTTTTGCGCAGAAGTGTCCTCCGCAGTGCCTGAAAACGAGAGTCTGTTTTCTAATTTTCCTGTTTTCCTCCTGTTTTTTGTTTGTTTTTTTCCTCTCTCCTCTTTTCCAGCGAGGCGGTGCCTTCCCCGCGGAGCCGGGAGCAGCCCCGAGGGAACGGCTTTTCCCGGGCACGGGAGCGGAGGCTCCCGGCGCCGCCGTCCCGCTCTCTCCGCCCCCCGCCGGGAGGAAGGGCGGGGCAGGGCTCGCCTTCCTCCTCCTCCTCCTCCTCCTCCTCCTCCTCCGGCGGCGCGGAAGTTTCTGGCACCTTCTGGCGGTGCCGGCGGAAGCGGCGGGCGGGCAGCGGCGGGGCCGGGGCAGCGCCATGGCCAAGTGGGGCCAGGGAGACCCGCGCTGGATCGTGGAGGAGCGGGCGGACGCCACCAACGTGAACAACTGGCACTGGTGAGAGCCGGGATGGAGCGGGATGCGGGGAAGGACGGGGGGGAATGGGCGGCCGGCGCTGACCCCAGCCCGCTCCCGGGGCAGGACGGAGCGGGACGCGACCAGCTGGTCCAAGAGGAAGCTGAAGGAGGTGCTGGAGGGGCTGGTGGTGGAGGGCGAGGCCGGGCGCTGCGAGATCGGCGACCTCAAACACGTGGAGGGCGAAGCGTCCTGCAACAGCCGCAAAGGGAAACTCATCTTCTTCTACGAGTGGAACCTGCGCCTCAGCTGGAAAGGTACGGGGGCAAGGGGGATGCGAGGGGCTCCGCAAGGATTGCCGGGCCCTGGGAGCACGTCCCGGGCCCGGCCGGGGAGATGGCATCGGCACAGGGCTCCGTGCTGCTCCCTGCTGCCGTCGGGAGCCATCCCCCTGCAGAGGAGCCTGTCCCGTCCGGGCTGGCGAAACGCGAATGTCCCGGTGAACCGCAGTGACTCGGAGTTCGGGGCTGGAGTCGATCGCGGGAGCCACGTGGGCCTGGACGGGATAAATGCGTATTCGTAAATAACCTTGAAACCCGAGCTTGGCTTTCCCCTTCACCCAGGCTTTTCCCACCGCATATTCCTTCGCCCTGCATTCCCGGTGTATCAGCACGGGGTTACTCACCTTAAGCTGTAAAAAGATGAATGCCTGCATTGTGGTGGCATTGACAGCAGAGTGCCGGGGCTGGTTTCCTTCCACTGTGCCCAAATTGCAGCTGTGTGCCCCTCCGTGCCTCTGGAGAGCAGGAAAACCTAGGAGACGTCACATTACTGTTGTTTCCAAAAACGAACAGTAGTGTACGTAGAGGATTACGACTTACAGGAGGATAAAACTCTTTAGTGGGAAATGGAAATAATTCTTGATTATTTGGGTTATTGGGGGCTGTGCCCGTGCATTTTTTTTGTTGTGCCGTACCCGTTTACAATCCCAGCTCTTGGAGTTACCCTCCGCTGGCCTTGTCCCGTGGCAGGTTCTTCGTTTGCAGTCTGGCTTTTAGTGATGCCAAGGAATTCTTGCCCTTTATTAAATGCCTAAAACCTGACAGCAGATTGTGGCCTTGCACTGGAGTAAGAAGCAGGAGCAGCCGATGGAGTGAGCCTGCACAGGGAATTGTCCGTGGATATTGTAGTGTGACAGGCTGTGCTTCCCCAAATACAGTCCTTATTCCTCAGCCCTGGGATGTGGAGGTTGGCCTGACTGGAATATTACTGAGACCAGACGAGATCTGGAATTGAAGTCTGCACCCACAATAAGAGGGGACTTTAAACTGAGTACTGTTGTTTGTTTTAGGAAGTTTTATGTGTACCAAGTGTGTTACAAACTGAGACCATACTTAAGAGTTGTGGTGTAAATGTTAACAGAGAGCAAGGCAAATAGCAGTTTTGTGCCGTTTAAATCAGTGTAGATAAAATAATTGTAATCAGTTTTTTGACTTTTTTAAGTTCAGCAAAAATTACCTTAAGCTTTAAACAGAGGTTAGCTCAGCTTTGTGTGGTTTATTTCAGAGTATAAATTTGGAAGCAGGCAGACAGTATTTTGTTTGTATTTTTACCGAAGTTCTCTCTAAACTATTTCTCTACAAGGTGTTTGTGCCAGTCAGTGTTTGGAGACAGCTCTGACTTGCTGCCTGCTTTGCTGTGCTGAGTGATTCGTGGCTTTGAGAGCTTAATTTTAAATTAATTGGCTACTACACAGGAAATGCTACAAAAAAAACCCAGAGGCTGATGATTTTTTTGGTGATAGCCATCATGTTGTGTGTTTTGAGGGCTCTAAATTAGAAGACTGTTCAGATTGAACTAAAAAACTGTAATTAGTTCTACAAGTCTTAAAGGATAATTAGGACTTCAAGCTTTGATTAAAAGGTGGATATACAAGGCCAAATTGTAAAAATCCTGAGATTTGCAGCTGGTTTGGAAAGTCCAGTGTAGGAAAAATATTCTGCTTAGCAATTTAGGTAAGAAAGAAACAAGAAAGTGAGGAATTGGGTGCACTTAATGATTCTAAAATTAAGCAAAATGGCCATTCTATCATTTTTTAGAGGATGTAATGAGGATTTTAATGGATCATTCCATATTGTGGTGGAAGCTTTGTGAAAACGTGTTTGTCCTTTTAAAGCAGGTGTTTCAGTGTGTTATAGTTGGATCATTCTGAGATGTGTGCTTTACACTGGACTGGCAGGAAACCAAAAATAATTTATTTTCAGGTCTGTTACTGAATTCCAGTGCAATTCCAACACATAATTTGATTGCTTGTTAAAAAGGTAGTGAAGTTTTTTTTTTTACATTACAGTGGTGGTGAAAATGCAGAGCAGCACTGATGTTCTTTCTGCCTGTGTCATGTGGATCCGCCAGCTCTGTTTGTTCACTGGTTGGACTTTGCTGCCCGGCACAGACACTGTCACTGTGGAACTTTAAGAGTTGTGAAAATTGCTAATAGGATTGGCTGACTGAAGTCAGTTTTGTGTTTTGCTCCCCAAAATTTCCTGCATGCCTGCACGTCCTTTCTGGGGAGCAGCCAAAAAAAAGATAGGTTTTATTGTCTGCAAAGACCATGTTGTGTGGTTTTCCTGTACTGATCCTGGTACTGGAAGAGGGCAGGGAAGAGCACACTGAGGTGGCTTTGTGGGCCCAGGAGTGTTCCAAGGATGGCATTAACCAGTTCCCAGGGCTTTACGGAGTGACAGGTTCTTCTGGGAGACTCCAGGGTCTAGTTCTGTCCCTGTGTAGCTGTGGATTAACAACTTTGTGTGCTGTGCAATCCCTCATTGCCTCAGACGCAGTGGGGAGGGATCTTTGCCCTTTGGTACCAACAGCGCTTCGCTCCCCTCCATGCGAGGAGGCACCTGGAGTCCCTCCCTTCTGTCATGAGGGCTCAGGGAAGTAATTAAAATAATGAGAGGAATGGTCTGGAGCAGGGCAATCGAGGTGGCTCTTGTGAAAGTGAGAATCCCCAGAAATTCTGCATCTGCCTTTCTGATAATTCCTCTTGTGCAGTCGTGCTCAGCCCTGGGCTGTTGGAATTGGAGAGTTTTGCTGATGAAGCAGTTTGTTAGATTTTTAATGTTCTGACACTGAGCTGACAAACGTGCCTGTTTCTCTTGTTGCTTTCTGAAGAGATTTTATCAAGATCTAATGAGTTAATTTAACAAAGCACTTCTGCAAGGCAAAGGGGAAGAGTCTTCAGTGTAATATAAAAAGCCTCAGACCTTAAATTCAATCTTTCCAGTGTAAACTGAGGCACAACAGCACGGGGGCAGTTCAGTGGGGTGGGCCTTGGCCCCAAAGGATCAGAAGTAAAGCATATAATTCCTGTCCTTGCTGACTCTTTCTGCAGTGATTGTGAAGTGGTTAAAAGTAAGATCAAGTGCTCTGAATGTGCACATGAAGTTCCTGTTTTTTAAAAATGTCAATTGTATCTTTCCCCATTATACACATGTGTTTTTCCTGGTAACATGCCTGCATGTTGGGAGCTTTCACACAATTAAAGAGGGGCATGGTCAGGGAGCTTCTGAATCCAGAGCAGATACATTAAGGGGAGAAGGGGATGATTTTCCCTTACCCACCCTTAGATACGCAGGCAGTGCTGGGGACAGGCTGTAAAGGCTGTTAGAGCAGGTGACAGCTGCAGGTGACAGCAGTGCAGGGAGCAGGTGGATCCCTGCCCATCCCTCAGTGCACCTGGGTAGGGAACACAGCTCCCCAGTTCCTCTAAATCAGCCTTGAGGCAACTTCCTTCAGGTAACACCTTCGTACAAATGAGTTCCAAGTGTAAAACTCTTGTTGTGGGGGAAAGAGTTTTTAATGCTGCATTTAAGAATTCGTTATGTTAATACAGGTACAGTGAAAGAGTCTGGTGAGAAACATAAGGGATCTGTTGAAATTCCTAACCTGTCAGAAGAAAATGAGGTAGATGATACAGAGGTAGGTGTGCAACACTGGTGTATGGCTGTATAGGTCCATAGTTCTTAAATAAAGTAAATCAACATCTAGGCATCATATTTTGATTTATCATGTTATTAAGTGGGGTAATTACATGTGGACAGTTTATTTAATGCTTTTGTTTATTATACTTGCAATAATGCCTTACTCTGTTCTCAAATTTACTGATGAGGAATGTGCAGTTTGCTTTGCTATTTATTGATTGTGATAATTTTTTTTAACTACAAATTGGAGGGGAACTCTGCTTGTAGTCTTAAAAAAAAAACCCAAACCAACACAGCAAACCACTCCCAGCCCTAAGACCTTAAGGGGTCTCTGTGTTGGCTGGATAATGGTGCACACTGGGCTTCCACAGATCCTTCAGCCTCTGCTGAGAAGCAACTCTTGGCTATACTTGAACTAGAGTGAGTGGAGATACTACATTTATTTATGTCTTAAGAAGACTTATTTTTAGGCTACCCCAAGGTTATGAATTCGAAATTGCACCTGTCCTCTGAGCATAGTAAACAAAGACCAAATGCTCTCCTTTGTTGCCAGATCCCAAAGGCTCATGTCTGAAGTCTCTTAAATGCTGTCATTTTTCTGTTTCTAGATAAATGTTAGCAAGAAGAAAGGGGAAGGTGATGTTCTGAAGGACCTGATGAGAACTGAAGGAACCACCAAAGTCAGAGAGGCCCTGAGGGACTACCTGAAAGCACTTAAAACAGGTAAATTGAACCAGGTGAATTAATCAACACCTTGGGAATGGTCCTGTGCAGCTGCCTCTCCTGAACAGCTTGGTCAGATTGTGACAAAGCCCTGGGTTTGTATTGGTTTGATCTTTAATTGCCACCAGCTGAGATGAGATAAGTTAGTCCTGACACTCAGGATCTCTTTTGCTCTAAAAGTGGCCATGTCCAGAAGGTTGTGCAGTGACTGTGCTGGGTCACGCAGGCCCTGCCAGGGCTCAGCTAAGCCCTACTAGGGCTGACCAATATTAGGATTTCTTTTTGTTGCCTGTTTTAAAAAACTGCCTTCCTTGCCTGAACTGCTGCCTAATTTTTGTGTCCCATTGTTTCAAGTATTAAATTAAATTTAATTAACTCTGTTAATTATTAGTTATTTTATAGAATTTCTGAAATGCTGTTTTTCTTTCTGTCCTTCACGCTACAAATTCATTGTGCTCATCTTTGACCTTACCATTATCATTTGAGATTCTAAGGTTTTATTATCCTAAACTTACTAAGTTTATAAATTTTCATTTGTTCTTCTAAATCAAAGGTGAGCCAGATTTAAATTTTTCTTTCTTTTTTTTTGAATGGTGGTATTTTGTGAATTACACCTGTTTCCAAGAACCAGGAAAGTATGCTCAAAAAATTGATGCATTTATAGCTTGTAGTTAAATTGTTACCAGGTACATCTCTGACTGTGAACTACTTCATTAAATTATTAACTCTTTTTTTTGTTAAATGCTGTGTAATTTTCACAAGTTGGATCGACCAGTTTTGGCTTGAGAAATTACTGTGTATGATTTTTAGGGTATCCAAAGATTCTTTAACTCTGGACACTCAAAGGGCAGCAGCATCTTGACAGGGATGGCTCCCATTCATTATTGAGTTTCACCCCAGTCTTCTGCAAAATTTAGAAGAATTTCTTTGGGTATTATTACTCTTTGATCTGAACATCTGCTGTGCAGATGTTTCTGATTTGGGGCCAGGTAACTTGGAAAAGCCTTTTGAAGGCTGTTAGGTCTGCTCCTGATTCCTGATGGAAGCATAAGAGTAAACTGGGAAAACCAAAGTGAGTTTTATGTCCTGTAGTTTTACCCATTCTCCAGGGTTTTGGTGATCTTCATTGAGTGTCTGAATGTCAGGGGGTTGAACAGCTCAATTTCACACTGAAAAGTGCTTTTCTTCATTACAGAGTTCACCTTGGGAATGATCCTGCCAACAAAAGCTCCTGTTGGTCAGGAACTGGCCATGGAGCGAAAACCAAGTGGGAGCACTGTGCAGGTATGCTGGCTTCAGGTTGTCACTGAATTTAGTGACTCCTGAGTAATGATACTGCTGAGGAAATGCAGAAATACAGTGTACAGTTGCCATGTATTCACACCCTGTGTTTGAGAATGTGCAGGTGAAACCCCCTTGCCCTGCAAGCACTTCTAATGGTCAAGATCTCACACTAATTCTTGTGGAATATTTTTTGCTTTGCAGGACTCTGTTACACCACAGTCTCTGGATATGGTTGGAGTAAAAATTCCAACAGTGAGGATACATATGAGGGAAGTCTTCAACTCTCCAGCTGATGAACTTTACAGCATCTTCACAAAGAAGGAAGTAAGTGATACGTCAAGGCATTTTAACTGAATGTGGCTGTTGATGCTGCTGAAGAGTTGTGTAAATAATAAACACGTCACAGTGTCGAATACAAATTCCATTTGATGAGAGTTTATTAGGCTGCCTTTGACCTTTTTTTGCCAGTTGTTCCCTTAACAAAGTGAAGCTGCATTGTTATGGTGTTTGGGTGCAGCTTCCTTGTGCTGTCCTTAACAAAAGCTTTGCTCTTTGATGTTGGTGTTGTTGAGGAGCCTGAAGGGCTCAGTAATGGCACTGCTGCTAGCCACAGCTTAATTAGATTAATTACTGAAAGTAGTGATACTGTTGCTTATTGGGTATGAAACACAGAATCACTAATTTTGGGTTTGTGTCCTTGAAATGAGTCTGGGCTGGTACTGGAGTACTTTAAATTCCAACCCCAGCTCTTAGCAGCTCTTCTGAACCTTCCTAAAGCTGCTGCTCCATTTCCCTCATTTCCCAGTCTGGGAACAGCCACTTGTGTCTACATCTGTGGAGGTGCTGGGGGCAGGGTGAATGCTGGTCTGTATGTACCAGTGCAACTTTCTCAGCATTAACATTCTCCCTGTGGCACCTCACTGGCCCCTGCCACAGCCCCAGCAATGCTGTATAAAATCAAAAGCCTGATGAGTGATTAAAGACTTCCAGGTGTTATCAAAGTTGCAGCACCCCTCCCTGGTCTCTCAGCATGGTGCATTTTGTGTTTTTCTTTTTTTGTTAGTTGGTACAGAAGTTCACCAAATGCCCAGCTGTGATTGAAGCAGAGAAAGGAGGCAAACTCCAGATGTTTGAGGGCTGTGTCAGCGGTGAATACACAGAACTGGTAAAAAGCTCCTGCTGTACTTTAAAACGTGAGGGGAGGGTGTCTCCTTCTCTGAGCTAAAAAGCAGCATAAATTTGAATTTCAGCTTCTCTAGTGAGTATTTCACTTCCTCTGTTTCAAAGCCAAATAGTTGGTCTTTTGTTGTGTGCTGTTTGTGTCTCATCAAAAGAGCAGGGACTGACCACACCTAAGGATCTGCATGGGGAGCAGAAAACCCAGCACAATCCTTTGTAACTGAGTGGAGGAAGAAAGGCTTTATTCCCAAATCCCGATCCCTTTTTAACTGGGGAAATTATTTCTGTTCTTTTCAGGGCCAGTGTTACCCTGTCCCAGCTGACTGCTGGTGCAAATAGAAGGGAAAAAACCTGGTAATTAGAGCTCAGCTGCATTTTTGAAATGTCCTAAAAACCATTTTCATTTGCAGGAGTGCCCGACTTGTGTACTGGGCCAGGCTGGATTGTGTAACACAATCACTCGGTCACACTTTGAAATTTCAGTGTGGAAAACTGGGCTTGTCCTTGTTTCAAAGGATGCAAGAAAACCAATGAGTCCCGGTCTTTTCCCACAGCAAAAACAGAACAGTGGAATAAACTGTTTTCATGGAGCTGTATTTCAAAAACCAGACCCCTGTCTTGCTCTTCTTTACATGCATGTGTCCAATACGCCATGAGATGCTGCTCCTCTCCCTGTATTTCAGGGAGAACTGCAATGGGAATTCTCTCAGGTGCTACCAAGGAGAACCTTCTTATCTTCCACAGGTTCCAAGCCAAAGAATTGTCCTGAAGTGGCGGTGTAGGAGCTGGCCTGATGGTGAGTTTTTCCAAGGATCTGTAATATTGCAGGGCTCCTTTGCAGAGAGAAGAACCAATCCTGGCAGGGACCAGCCTTGGCTGGACATTCCCTTGGTCTCTGTCCTTCGGAGAACAGCCCAGTGCAGGGAGCTGTGAAAACAGGCTGTGCTCAGACAGGCAGAGCAGAGAGGGAATGAGCACCAACAAGTAGCATTCTTTAAAAAGCATTTCACTGAAGGATCTTGTTCTCTTCCCTCAGAACATTATGCAACTGTGGCCTTGAACTTCCAGGACCTGGCAGCTCAGTCAGAACTGGAGCTGGAATGCAAAGGGGTTCCTGTCTCCCATGAAGAGAGTACAAGACAATGTTGGAAGAAGCAATATTTTGAAGAAATACATATTTTACTGCAGCAATCAAAAGACAACATGGAATGATAACAGCACTGTAGTTTTGTTAGGGCATTACTTTTTATACTTTGTTAACATTTGGTTTTCTAAAAAAAAAAATAATTTATTTGTGGGAAAAATAAAGACCCACTTCTATGAGACTGTACATAGTTTAAGCACTATTTATGGGTTTTTAGGGAATGAGAGGCAAGTCAGACTGTATATCAACAGCTTTACTTGGGGACAGTGATCTCTGTTCTGCTTGCCTGGAACTTCAGAGTGATAATGATTCAGCTGCAGTGAGCCCTGCCCTCAGAGGTAGGCAAGCTACACCATCAACAGGAAGCATTTCCAGTTCTTTAATATTCAGTGTATCAAGTGGCAAAATTAAATCCCTGTAGGAGACTGAGTTCCCAGCAGAGGTGAGCTGAAAGGGATTACAAAACTGCTGATCCATTTCAAGAAATGGGGGGTGGGGGGGGGTATTATTTACAACCTTTGTGGAATACTTGCTAGATGCTTTTCAAGTGCAGACTGTTTGCAGCTGCAGTTTTAGGAAAGATAATTAACAATGTCATTTAATGATTAGGTCTGCATGCACTGTACTCCCTTACTTGACTTCGGTGTGACATTTATTTAGGAAGAAACAAACGGTAGTAGTGCTTTCTTTCTGCAGTTCTGTAAAACCTTCCACTGAAATGATTCATAGCCCTCTGCAATGCTGTACCTCAAAGAGAACAACTGTAAAGAGAATTTTGACAGGAACAAATTGTAATTCCTAATTAAACCATCTTGAAGTGAGCAAGGATAACTTAGTTCTCAAATGCGTTATAAATAAAGTGTACAAATGAAAAAACAATTTGACCACAACAGGGCACGCTGCTTTTGGAAAATGTGCTTGGCTCAATAAAAACATGACTTTATCTCCACAAACTGATACTGCCACACTAAAGATTCTTAGAAGTCTGTATATTTTATTTTTACAGAATGCCAACACATGGCACCCTTGCCACCCAAAAAGCTTCCATCATCCCGAGGAGACCGAGCTACTGCTCCCTGCTACAGGCCAGGTTCTCCTGAAAAGTTTGCAGTCAGTTATTAACAACCCCTCTGAACTGAGGTCTGTGGTAGTGAGAAGAACAAAGTCCCCACAGTGACAGGAGAGGCATGGAAGACTCCCTAGGTGTTGCCTGCTGTTGCTTGAAGTGTCCGGGTGCTAGATAGAACATTACTCAAGAGGTTGCTCCCTATTTTAGCATCTGTTTATGAATGCTCAAAATTTAGTTACTTTTTTCCCTCCTCAACATTCAAGGAAGACAAGCCTGATGCTTTGAATACAAAAATGATTCAGGGTAGGGGTTGACAAAGGGCAATTAAGGTCTAAGTTCAGGCTTCAGCAGGTTTATGGGTAGATGGTTGAGGAGATACTGCAATGATTAGAGAGTAGGTGGCTCTATGCAATTAAAAGTTTATTCAAACAGTGAAACTGCAGCCCTAGTGTTCTCTGGGAATTGTGCTTTGCTCATGACTGAAATCCCTTGGTTTTCCTGTTTCCCTGCCCTCACTGGAATGGAGTAATTGCCAATCAGTAGTGTTAAAAAAGACAGGACATACTTGTGCTTCCAATGTTGCAAGTCCCTGCTCCAGCTGCCAAAACCCCTGGAAAATGAGCAGCAGCTCCATATCCCTCTAAAACTTGTGCTAAAGTTTCTCCTGGACTTCCCAATTAAGAATATTAGATGGAAATTCACTGAGAAGGGCAAAGATAAAAATAGTACAATGGGAAAAACATGGTTTGTAAGATTATGGCCAAAATCCTTTACAGATCTCAGAAGGAATTTTAAAAGCTTAATTTTGAAGGGGTTAAATGGGAGGTAGAAATATGTAATAATAAATGAGAAGTGGGATAAAACCTGAAGAAAATCAAAGCTTTTAAGAGAGTGAGGAAGCCAGTGGAAGATGAAAGGGTCTAGGGTTAAAAGGCTTTCAAAGCTGGGATAAGGGAGCATTTTTAAAGGCAGAAAAATACAAACCAGAAAACTGATTTAAAGTGAGAGAAGGGGAACAGAATGGAAGAAATAATGACTGACAGAGCATGGAAAGTGAGGGAGACAGAGGACAAACACCTGGAAACAGACTCTGGAAAAGGAAGACACCTTTGTGCAGGTATTGCTTGCTTCTGTTCAAAAAATTACTGCAAAAAATTATTGGTAAAAATTGTAGGAATACTCAAGGGGGAAATTAGGAGGTAAGGGAAGAGCAGTAAGAGTAATCATATTTCTGGTAATCCTGACATGATTAATGGTGCAGTATTTGTGCATCCTTTATGAAATCATCATCAAGTACAGTTTATAGTTGGTCTGTTCAAAAATGAACTAAAAAAACATGCCAAAGGCCAGAAGGCCACAACTCTGGTGAGACTCCCATCCTGCAGGAGCTGCTAAGCCAGCAAGGGTGTCGTGGTTTGACACGGAAAAAGAATTTTTCTGGAAGGAAGAGGTTAATTTGGATGTTGACCAATTGGAGGTGGACACGCCTCTGAGATCACTGAGGGGTTAAAAGCAGAATTCCCAGGAGAACTCTCTTTGGTTCTGGTCAGCCTGCCTGGTGGGGGAGGGGAAGGCCCATGGCCTGACTGAGGTAGGCCCAAAGGTGGAGGGAACTGGAACCCCCTGCAGATTGAAGGGTGGAGAAAATCTGGGATGTCTCTGTTGCCCCCCGCCCCAAGAGTCTCTTGGCAGTGGTGGCTTGTCAGCAATTTCACCGCGGGGAAGGAGAAGAGCGAGCGGGCAGGGGCTGCAAAGTGCCCAGCCACTGCCGTGGGAGCCAGAGCCTGGGCAGAGAGCCAGCCAGGGAGTCGGGACTCTTAACCCTTCCTTGAGAAATGAAAGCTTTGTGAAATTTTTTTCCTCTCCTCGGTTTCAAAAGAGAGGAAGAGAGACAGCTTGGACCCTGGGATGTTAAAAGGAGAAATTCTACGTGGGAGGAGATGATGGAGTGGCTTTTGGCTGGACTTTTTCTTGGTAGCCACAGACTGAATCAATCTTCTCCTCCAAGAGAGACTGTATTTTAGGAGGATGCCGGTGAGCCAAGAGACCTCCTTCAGCTGGGAGAAGACAGAAGTAGAGCAAACAGAAGAAAAAGTTAGGGAGGTTTGTGGTGGTGCCCCCTGTCCTTAAAGAAGAAGATCTCTGTTCTTGGACCCTCGGCCCCAGGGGGAAAATGGGGGGGGACTGTGGTCCCAAAAAATGAAAAAAACTGAACTGTTGTTTTCTCCCCTCTTAGCAAAGGAAAAATCCTAAAAGCAGTCTGTCCATCCATGCATTGGTGGTGAGAGCACTGTGCATGGAAAGGAGAAGGGCCACCATGGCAAACTTTTTCTCCAGGCAGTGCCATGTGTGACATGGAAGCACAGGATGTGGCAGCTGTGTTTCTTGGGGGTCTGTGGCACAGGAGAGGCTCCTCTCTCCCTCGATGGACTGAGTATTGATTGTCTGGAGAGTGGAAACCTGATTGGGGTCCAGATTGCGTCTCACTGTGGTTTGTCAGAGTTGGGTGGTGGGAGGAGGAATGCTTTGCAAGGTGTTAATTTTGATCTTTATGTGTTTTTTTCTTTTTCCTTCCTTTCTTTTATAGTAGTAGCTTAATAAAGGTTTTTTTTTCCCCCCGTTATTAAGCTTAGACCTGCTTTACTCAGAAATTGCATTTTCATAAGGGTACTGGCATTGTGCCAGTGTCAAACCATAACAAAGGGGCAGCAGATCAGACACCATCCCAACTGCACAATATTAAGGCTGATTAATTAAGAAAACTACTCACCCAAAGGGGTTCCAACAGCTGCTGCAGATCCAGTTTTGATCAATAGGCCACTGTTTTTCTTGACAAAAAAATTCTGATTGTAGAACTTTTGACTAGAAGCTGTTGATGAGTTCACTGGAGTAACAACCTGGGGTAAGCTAATCAGAAAAAGTAATAAAATTATTCCTAAAGAGAACAAAACCATAGTTATTTAATGTCTGAATAATGAGGATACCAACTTAAGCACATACCAGTGTCAGCAGTGTCTGCAAATGCAGGATAAAAATACTAAATAAACAGGAATATAAATTTGTAAAGTTTAAAGATTAATTACAGAACATTGAAACCAGTAAATTCAAAGGGAGCAAGAGCATCACAGACTCAAGAAGAAGCAAGTGATGCAAAACTGCAGTGAAGGGTAAATGGAAAGAAAGAATTTTGAAGAAAAAAGACCAAGGTAGATGAAGACAATAGAAAAACAAATGCGCTGAGCAGCTGGAAAATGAAGCTGAAAATGGAGTTTAATCAGATATTAGAACCAGTAGCATTGACAGTCCAAAAGGTCACATAGAGGTAACCGGTATTACTCAGAAATAACAGGGGGAAGTATAATGGGAGGGATGATAAAAGTAATTCCAGGGCTGCAGAAGCTGTCAAAAAGTGAGGGGGTACAGCCAGATCGAACAGAAGGAAAAAAGAAAGGAAGTCTGTAAATGGTGCAGGAGAAAAAGTGTGTAAGAGGGAAATAAGGGAAATGAAATGCCAAGTTTCCCTGGCTTTTGACAGCACTTCACATTCAAAACAACAAGCACCAGTCCCTCTCCACTGTGTGGCTGAACACTCGTGCAAACTGAACAAGCACCAAAATCTACATCAAATCTGAACCTCTGACCATTATTTCTCTCTGCTGCTGTTTCAATTTTGAAGTTCTTTGCTGAGAAATCCAAAGACTGAAGCAACATATTATAAACAAATGAAAAGTCATCACAATCAGTTTAATGAAGTGCACAGAATAGCAATTGATCATGTCAATAAAAATAAAACAATTAATTTTACATCAAGTGTGCTTTATTTCCTCCACAGGTATTCTGTTAAATAAAGCACCATATATATACTGCCAGGCCACAGCTAAAGAGGATTCTTTACAGAATCAAATTTCTTGTGGTTGTTTAGTATACAAGTAAACTTAATTTTGATAATAAGAACCACAGCGATCTGAGGCAATCTGCCTCGATTATAAGGTACAAAACTGGCACAGAGGACACCATATTATACACAGTAAAAATGCCATAAGTTTAAATTACATCATACAGGGCCAGGAGGCCCTGTCTCCCAGACAGCCATATTAAATGAAAGCCACTACAGTGAACTCTTAATTACATAAAACATAGCCATTATCTGATTGCCCTTTAAGAAAGTGTACGGTAGATGCAAAATAAAATAAAATTAAAAAAAATAATTTTGAGTTCTGCCTGACCAAGAATTAAGCATATAAATCTATCTTGCCATTCAAGCAGAGAGCACTGGACAAACTGAAGCACAAAACAGAAATAAGCAAAACTTATACAAACAGCATTTTTGGGGGAAGAAGGATTAAAAAAAAAAAAAAAGACTTAAAAGCAGACATGCTCCATCTAATGTCAAGAAGCAGCTTGGTTTCCTTTCGCGGATATCCGTGTGACCACATGAATCGTAGACTCAATGGTCCTGCACAGGATGTCTAAAATGTCATGGTGCTGCATGTGACTAAAAAGTCCTCTGGAATGGCCACAACTGATTGATAAATTAGTCTCAGGGTCCTGGGATGGTAAGGCTTGGCCATCGCAGCTCCGCAAGTCTGCGAGGTCAGATAAAACCGCGGAAATCGATGTGGAAGGAAACTCCGAGTCCTCCTCGGCTCCCATGGAATCCTTGGAAGCCTGCAGGTCTTTGAACTCTTTGCATTCTTCAAATTTCCCGTTCCCCAGCTGCTCCTCGGCATGCTGCACGCGTGCAGCCAACGCAACATCTTCGGAAAACGAAGAGGGCACTTCCATCCTGTACTCCTTGACAGAACTGTTCTCTGGAGAGGGCGGGTCCTGCTCCGTTCCTGGGTCGATGATGGAGGAGTCCCTGGTCTCATTGTCCGAGGTGCTGGTGGGGGTCAGCGCCTCGTGGGGCTCGGCTTTGATGTCGCCGATGTCCACGCCATGCTCCTCATCGCTGCTCACCCGCCGCCGCTTCACCGGAGTGGCTCCTTCGTCATCTGTGGGGACAGGGCAGCTGCTCAGGCACTGCTCACATCCTCACCCATCTCCACACTCAACACAGCACTTCAATAAACACTCATTTCCTTGCAGAGAATTAGTGCAATTCACAAACTTTAGCTCCATGATAAAATGAGATATTTGTGTACTACTGGGATTTGGAGACAAGGAATGTCCCACCCTGGAGGGACAAAATAACGTATTACATTAATTTGATAAAAGGTTCATTAATGCAACACCAAACCTTTAGTTTTTCTTTCTTTGGCTTCTTGCTCTTGTAGTGAGTTCCTCTGTTGCTGACAAGCTCTACATTTGTTTAAAAGCTCTTGTAAAGTTGGAATCAGGGCAGAGTTGAGCTGTTTGGGAGTGTGCACCGAAAGCAGCAAGGCAAGTGCTCGGAGGTCCTGGAAATAGAGAAACAAACTAAAGGCTTATTTCAAAC